TCTAATCAGTGCTCAGGTCTATAATGCATACTACTTATTAGCTCGTCCCTTATACATTCATTTTATTCTTTTTTTGTGTTTTTTGTGTGCATATATGAGACGGAATTTCATGCTGTTACCCAGGCTGGAGTGCAGTGGCACAATCTCAGTTCACTGAGACATCTGCCTCCCAAGTTCAAGCAATTTTCCTGCCTCAGCCTCCCGAGTAGCTGGGATTATAAGCACCTGCCACCACACCCAGCTAAAGTTTTTGTATTTTTAGTAGAGATGGGGTTTCACCATGTTGGCTAGGCTGGTTTTGAATTCCTGACCTCAGTTGATCCACCTGGCTCAGCCAAAGTGTTGGGATTACAGGCATGAGCCACTGCACCCAGCCACATTCTTTTTTTTTTTTTTTTTTTGAGACAGTGTCTTACTCTGTCGTCCAGGCTGGAGTGCAGTGGTGTGATCGCGGCTCATTGCAACCTCCACTTCCCAGGTTCAAGTGATTCTCCTGCCTCAGCTTCCCAAGTAGCCTGGGATTATAGGTACCCGCCATCGTGCCTGGCTAATTTTTTGTATTTTTAGTAGAGACGGGGTTTTACCATGTTGGTCAGGCTGGTCTTGAACTCCTGACCTCAGGTGATCCAGCCACTTCGGCCTCTCAAAGTGCCGGGATTACAGGCGTGAGCCAGCATGCCCAGCACATTCATTTTTTTAAATTTGAGACTGTGAATGATTGTTTGACTCCAGTATTTTTACTAATGTAATCAGAAGGAGCCCCAAAGGAAGAAGTTCTGGAAGTATTTGTTGAAAGAATGGGGAAGAAGAGTTTAAAAGCTCATTTAAAAAACGGTTGCCTTCTGCCAGGCGCAGTGGCTCAAGCCTGTAATCCCAGCACTTTGGGAGGCTGAGGCGGGTGGATCACGAGGTCAAGAGATTGAGACCATCCTAGTTGACATGGTGAAACCCCGTCTCTACTAAAAATACAAAAAGTTAGCTGGGCATGGTGGCACGTGCCTGTAATCCCAGCTACTCAGGAGGCTGAGGCAGGAGAATTGCCTGAACCCAGGAAGCGGAGGTTGCGGTGAGCTGAGATCGCGCCATTGCACTCCAGCCTGGGTAAGGAGCAAAACTCCGTCTCAAAAAAAAAAAAAAAATGGTTGCATTCTTTCCCTTCTACCTCCCGAGAAATTATAGATATTATTATAGCAACTAAGAAGTTGCGGTACAGCCCTCCACCCTCAGACAGATGGGCATAAAACCCAGCTTTTTCTTTTTTCTTTTTTTGAGACGGAGTTCCGCTCTTGTTACCCAGGCTGGAGTGCAATGGCGCGATCTCAGCTCACCGCAACCTCCGCCTCCTGGGTTCAGGCAATTCTCCTGCCTCAGCCTCCTGAGTAGCTGGGATTACAGACACGCGCCACCATGCCCAGCTAATTTTTTGTATTTTTAGTCGAGACGGGGTTTCACCGTGTTGACCAGGATGGTCTCGATCTCTTGACCTCGTTATCCACCTGCCTCGGCCTCCCAAAGTGCTGGGATTACAGGTTTGAGCCACCGCACCCGGCGCTTTTTCTTTTTTCTTTTCTTTTTTGAGACGGAGTTGCACTCTGTTGCCCAGGCTGGAGTGCAATGGCAAGGTCTCAGCTCACTGCACCCTCCGCCTCCCAGGTTCAAGCGATTCTCTGCCTCAGCCTCCAGTGTATCTGGGATTACAGGTGTGAGCCACCATGCCCAGCTAATTTTTGTATTTTTAGTAGAGGGGGGTTTCACTGTGTTGGCCAGGCTAGACTTGAATTCCTGACCTCAAGTCCACCCACCTTGGCCTTCCAAGGTGCTGGGATTACAGCTGTGAACCACCATGCCCCCCCCTTTTTTTTTTGCCACCAACTTTTTTTTTTTTTGAGATGGAGTTTCACTCTCCTTGCCCAGGCTGGAGTGCAATGGTGTGGTCTCGGCTCACCACAACCTCTGCCTCCCAGGTTCAAGCGATTCTCCTGCCTCACCTTCTTGAATAGCTGGTATTACAGGCATGCGCCACCATGCCTGGCTAATTTCATATTTTTAGTAGAGATGGGGTTGTTTCTCCTTGTTGGTGGCTGGTCTCAAACTCCCAACCTCAGGTGATCCACCAGCCTTGGTCTCCCAAAGTGCTGGTATTATAGGCATGAGCCACCACGCCCAGCCTTTTTTTTTTTTTTTTTTAATGGATCAGGTTGACCTTGCCTCTTCTTACCTGCCCGCCCTTCTACCTGGCCCAAAATCTGCTCCTTCTGGCATCATCCAGGCTCTACCAGCATCTTAGTGCCCTGGCCTGTCTTCATTCATCCTCATCTCACTTCTGACCCTGAGTTGTATTCCAGTGTCACAAAACTCTATCTCTGGAGGACCTTACAGTTTGTCCAGCAAATAACCCTCTGGGGCTATAAATAACCCCAGGCCTTTCCATCTCCTGTAGAGCTTATTTGACTTCAAACTTTGCTGCCAACAGCCGGCTGCATGTACCACTCTCCCCCCTCACCTTCCGTGCCTCTCGGAAGCCCTTCTTTTTTTTTTTTTTTTTTTTTTTTGAGATGGAGTTTTGCTCTTGTTACCCAGGCTGGAGTGCAACGGCACGATCTTGGCTCACCGCAACCTCCGTCTTCTGGGTTCAAGCAATTCTCTTGCCTCGGCCTCCCGAGTAGCTGGGACAGCAGGCGCGCACCACCATGCCCAGGTAATTTTTGTATTTTTAGTAGAGACAGGGTTTCACCTTGTTGACCAGGATGGTCTTGATCTCTTGACCTCGTGATCCACCCGCCTCGGCCTCCCAGAGTGCTGGGATTATAGGCGTGAGCCGCCGTGCCCACCGGAAGCCCTTCTTAAGATAAGGCAAAATGTGATCCCATCAGAATTTGCTTCAGGGTCTCATTTTGCGGGCTGCTTTTTAGTGTCCCTCTTTCTTCTTAATCTTACTCCAAACCAATCCATTTCACCTGTTGTGAATTTGTCATGTCCCTTCTCGGTGTCTTCATTTTTCAGGTATCCTCTGATTTGTAAGAACACTTGAGAGTAATGGAAGTAAAACTGAACCTTGCTTTATGTGAAGGGAGTGAGGGATGATAGGATTATGGGGCTTTTACAAAGAATATATCCTAGACCATTGAGGCTAAGACAGAAGGCAATGTAAAAGCTGAGAGGGTAGGAAGAGGGGCCATCGAGCTGAACAGATTTCAAGTGATAAACAAGGTTAAGATACCCTTTGACGCAGTCATCGTCACCTGAAAATCTCTCATAAATAAATATTCTAAAATATGGAAACAGCGCTCCATGTGACATGTGCATCACAGCTTTATTTATTTTTCATTTTCTTTGTTGTTTTGTTTTGTTTTTGTTTTTTTGTTGCCCAGGCTGGAGTGCAGTGGTGCAGTTTCAACTCACTGCAACCTCCTCCTCCCAGGTTCAAGCGATTCTTCTGCCTCAGCCTCCCGGGTAGCTGAGACTATAGGTATGTGCCACCACGCCCGGCTACTTCTTGTATTTTTAGTAGAGACGGGGTTTCACTATATTGGCCAGGCTGGTGCCAAATTCCTGACCTCAAGTGATTCGCCCACCTCAGCCTCCCAAAGTGTTGGGATTACAGGTCTGAGCCACCATGCCTGGCGCACAGCATTTTATTTTATTTTATTTTATTTATTTTATTTTAGAGACAGAGTCTTGCACTGTTGCCTGGCTGGAGTGCAGCAGCACAATCTCGGCTGACTGTAGTTTCCACCTCCCAGGTTCAAGCAATGATCTTGCCTCAGCCTTCCAAGTAGCTGGGGTTACAGGCACCCGCCATCATCCCCAGCTAATTTTTTGTATTTTTAGTAGAGATGGGGTTTCACTATGTTGGCCAGGCTGGTCTCAAACTCCTGACCTCATGATCTGCCCGCCTGGTTCTCCCAAAGTGCTGGGATTACAGGTGTGAGCCATCTCGCCCTGCCAGCATTATTTATAATTGTAAAAAAGTGTAAATAACTTAAATCTTCAATCTCCAAGGAACAGTTAAGTGTATTAAGTGTTTCCTCCAAATAGATTAGTATAATGTCACTTAAAATGATTATTATGAAAATCCTTTAGCCAAAGGAAGAATGCTCCTAATAATGAATGGAAGAGAAATCAGAGTAGTAAAACAGGCATACACTGAGATTATAAAATACGGACAAAAATATGTAAGAAATACTGGCAGGAAAGTTCCCAAGTCCTAACAGAGTTTCTAGGGTGGTGGCATCATGGATGGCTCTTTTTCACTAAAAAGTGACATATATAAAAATATGTTTCAAGGTGTTTATAATATGGTCACCTCTCATTTATAATTTGCAAAGTAACTCATTGAAAAAAAGATAAAGAAATGTGGGCTGGGTGCGGTGGCTCATGCCTGTGATCCCAGCACTTTGGGAGGCTGAGGTGGGTGGATCACTTGAGACCAGGAATGTGAGATCAGCCTCGGAAACTTGGCGAAACTATGTCTCTACAGAAAAATTTAAAAAGAAGCCAGGCATGGTAATGTCTGCCTGTAGTCCCAGCTACTTGGGAGGCTGAGGTGGGAGGATCAATTGAGTCCGAGAGGTCTACTGCAGTGAGCCATGATTGCACCACTGCACTCCAGTATGGGTAACAGAGCGAGGCCCTGTCTCAAAGAAAAGGAAGAAAGAAATGTGAAAAATATGAAAGTTTGCAAAGAAAATAACCAAGGAGAGAGGTCATGCAGACGGGCTGCCCTCCTCACTAGACGAGCCCCATCCCTGTTGTGTGTGTGATCATCACCCTGAGTTTCCTTAGCAGACTCACCTCCCAGCCTTTCTCATTGGCTCCATGCACCAGGTGAACCAAAAGCTTGCTGACATAAATCTGTGTACCGAGCCTCCAGCCAACAGCCTGGTGAGTTAACTGTGCTGGAGCTGAGGCAAAGCTTCTAACAGGGAAGGGCCCCAGGGATAATCAAGGTATCCCAGTACCCTGGGGCCTTTCTATTTATTTGAAAACATGTTTATACAATTGAGTTCTCAAAGTTAATTTTTTTTTTAATTAATAAATTTTATTTTTCATTTTTATTTTTATGTATTTATTTTTGAGACAGAGTCTCACTCTTGCCCAGGCTGGAGTGCAATGGCATTATCTCAGCTTACTGCAACCTCCGCCTTCTGAGTTCAAGTAGATTCTCCTGCTTCAGCCTCCTGAATAGCTGAGTTTACAGGCACATGCCACCATGCCCGGCTAATTTTTGTATTTTTAGTAGAGATGGGGCTTCACCATGTTGCTCAGGCTGGTCTCAAACTCCTAACCTCATGTTCCACCCTCCTCGGCCTCTGAAAGTGCTGGGAATACAGGCATGAGCCACCATGCCTATTTTTTACGTTTTTGAGACAGAGTCTCACTCTGTCACCAGCCTGGAGTGCAGTGGCACTATCTCAGCTTACTACAAAGTCCGCCTCCTGTGTTCAAGTGATTCTCCTACCTCAGCCTCCCAAGTAGCTGGGACTACAGGCACATGCCACCACGTCCAGCTAATTTTTGTATTTTTTAGTAGAGACGGGTTTCACCATGTTGGCCCAGATGGTCTCAATCTCTTGACCTTGTGATCCGCCCGCCTTGGCCTCCCAAAGTGCTGGGATTACAGACGTGAGCCACTGCGCCTGACCAATAAACTATTTTTCAGAGCAGTTTTAAGTTCACAGCAAAATCAAGCAGAAAATACAATTTTCTCATACACCCTCTGCCTCCGCCCACACACAACCTCCCCTTCTGTCAACATTACACACCATAGTGCCACATTTGTTAGAATTAATGGACCTGCATTGTTATATCATCATCGCTCAATATTCAGAGTTTACAATAGGGTTCACTCCTGGAGTTGTACATTCTATGAATTTGGATAAATACATAATGACATATATCTACTATTGTAGTGTCATACAGAATAGTTTCATTGTCCCAAAATCCTCTGTGCTTTGCCTGTTCGTCTCTTTCTACTCCCTAACCCCTGACAACCACTATTGTGTTTACTCTCTCTCGGTAGTTGTACCTTTCCCATAATGTGTAGTTGGAATCATGTGGTATGCAGCCTTTTCCCACTGGTTTCTTTCACTTAGTATGCTTTTAGGTTTCCTCCACATCTTTTCGTGGTTTGATAGTTTGTTTCTTTTTAGTGCCAAATACTCCATTGTCTGAACTACCATGGTTTATCTGTCCACTACTGAGGGACATCTTGGTTGCTTCCAAGTTTGGGCAATTACAAATAAAATTGCTGTAAGCATCCATGTGCAGGTCTCTGTGTGGATGTAAGGTTTCACTTCATATAAGTAAATACCAAAGAACACAATTGGTAGATCATATGGTAAGAGTATGTTTTGCAAGAAACTGGCAAACTTGGCCAGGAGCGGTGGCTCATGCCTGTAATCCCAGCATTTTGGGAGGCCAAGACGGACAGATCACGAGGTCAGGAGTTCAAGACAAGTCTGGCCAGCATCCTGAAACCTTGTCTCCACTACAGATACAAAAAATTAGCTGGACGTGGTGGTGCACACCTGTAATCCCAGCTACTTAGGAGGCTGAGGCAGGAGAATTGCTTGAACCTGGGAGGCAAAGGTTGCAGGGAGCTGAGATCGAGATTGTGCCAGTGCACTCCAGCCTGGGTGATGGGGTGAGACTTCGTCTCAGAAAAAAAAAAAAGAAAAGAAACTGGCAAACTCTCTTCCAAAGTGGTGTTATCATTTTTCCTTCCCACCCACAGTGAATGAGAGTTCATGTGGCTCCATATCCTCACTAGTATTTGGTGGTGTCAGTGTTCTAGATTTTGGTCATTCTAATAGGTGTGTAGTGGTATCTCGCTTTAATTTTCTTTTCCCCGATGACATATATCTTTGTGTATCCTTATTTACCTACCATCTGCAGATCTTCTTTGGTGAGGTATCTGTTCAGTCTTTAGTGCCCACTCCCCTCTTTTTTGAGACAGAGTCCTGCTGTGTCACCTGGGCTGGAGTACAGTGACATGATCTCAGCTCACTGCAACCTCCACCTCCCGGATTCAAGTGATTCTCCTGCCTCAGACTCCTGAGTAGCTGGGATTACAGGCATCCGCCACAATGCCTGGCTAATTTTTGTATTTTTAGTAGAGATAGGATTTTGCACTGTGTTGGCCAGGCTGGTCTCGACCTTCTAACCTCAGGTGTTCCACCAGCCTTGGCTGGAATGGAAATAGGGCACAGCTTGCAACCTGGGCATGAGACTCAGAGGTCTGAGATCAGCGGACCTCAGGATTCGTTCAATAGTGTACATCTATTAGGCACTTCTTTTTTTTTTTTTTTAATTAGGCACTTTTATACACCAAGTGCTAGGTACCATCTACAGGCAGGACAGATGCTGGGGAAACCAGTCTGACTGCCGGTACTCAGAAGTCAAGGTCTGGACGCATAAAGAACGTGGCAAACTGTCCATGAGAGGGTAGACAGGGAGCCTGGGGATGAGTTCTGGTGGCAGCAGGCAGTACACATCTGACAAACCTGACCAGCTGCCTGGGCAGAGGAGCGGGAAGGACAGGCGAGGTGTCCCTTCCCCCAGGGCACGTGGGGATTAAAGTTGCTCCTGACAGCCACATCCTAGCACTAGTGTGCGTTTCTCTCTAGTTTCTGAACAAGAACTTTGCTTAGCAATTTTTTTTTTTTGAGATGGTGTTTCGTTCTCGTTGCCCAGGCTGGAGTGCAGTGGTGCAATCTCGGCTCACCGCAACCTCCGCCTCCTGGGTTTAAGCGATTCTCCTGCCTCAGCCTCCCGAGGAGCTGGAATTACAGGCATGCAGCACCACGCCCAGCTAATTTTGTATTTTTACTAGAGATGGGGTTTTTTCATGTTGGTCAAGCTGGTCTCGAACTCCTGACCTCAGGTAATCAGCCCGCCTTGGCCTCCCAAAGTGCTGGGATTACAGGCATGAGACACCGTTCCCGGCCTCGCTTAGCTCTTCTTACCAGACTCACTCCCTCAAGAGCAAGTTGCCCACCGTCACGGCCTCGCTACTCACTGACCTAGTTCTCAGCCTGTAGATCACTCCTCTAGAAAGTCCGTCCCTACACCCTTAACTGCACAGCTAGTGTAGACACCCCTCTGTGTATTCTCTTGGCATCCTATCCCTGTTCTCGGCATCACTGATAACCCTGTAATGACCTGCTTCTCCCCTGCCAGCCTGTGAATGCTTGGAGGGCATATATGGTATCCTCTGTTCACTGTTGCATCTTTGACATTGGGCACAGCATTTGGTCTTTAGTAGATGATCAGGAAATATTTGTGGAATGTATGATATAGTCACAAATTCTAGCTTCTCATCTGCATTTCAGTCTTCTATTTTCAGCTACCTAGAGCAGTGATCCCTCTACCTAACTAATCATCAGACTCTCCTTGGAGATGTTTTTATTTTGAGACAGGGTCTCTGTCACCCAGGCTGGAATGCAGTAGTGTAGTCTTGGATCACTGCAACCTCCCTGGTTGGGGTTCAAGCAATTCTGGTACCTCAGCCTCCTGGTAGCTGGGATTACAGGTGCCTGCCAGTATGCCCAGCTAATTTTTGTAATTTTGGTAGAGACGGGGTTTTGCCATCTTGGCCAGGCTGGTTTCAAACTCCTAACCTCAGGTGATCCGCCTGCCTCAGCCTCCCAAAGTGCTTGGATTACAGGCATGAGCCACCACACCCAGCCTCCTTGGAGCTTTTTAGAAACTAAAAGAGCTCTCTGATAGTAAGTGAAAAGTGCGTCTGGCATGCTCCCCTTTGAATGGGGATGGAACGTCTCTGGAAGGGTATGCAAAAAACAAGGTTGGTTGCCTATAGAGATGGGAATTGGGCAAGGTGTAGAAGGGAGACTTTTGACTCTGTTATTTGATCTTATATCATATACATTGCTTATTGGTTTTAAAAATTTAAGTAGATAATTATTCAGGGGCCACAATAAATGCATAAAAAATTCAAGACCCAATGCAGACCTAGGAAATAAATACCTCTAACATGAAGGCTTGGGAAACTGTGTATTTGAATACTTCTTAAAATGCCAGTCATTGGCCCGGTTGGGAGTTGCCTTCTATGAGAACAGCCCCACTTGTAGGTCCTGCAGTCATGTCAAGGGTAAACTCAGCTCAATGCTGGTCTTACCACCTTTCCCCTAAAACTTACTCTTCTTTCAACATTCAACTATCCTTTCTCCCCTCTTTCTGTACAGTCTTATCCATCCTTCCAGGCCATGCAATGTCTGCCACAATGACATTGGTAAAGATCAGAGATACTGCTACATTGCTACAGTGACTCATACCCATCCAATTCATTCATCATGCCTTGAATTTCAGCTTGCTTAATTGGAGCAACAATGTTAATACACAGACTGGCACACACACAGATACACACCCCTGCACACGTGTCCAGTACCTTTCACTTATGCAGAGCAGGGAGTGCCGATGCAAAGGTAAGATGGGGGAGGCCTGGAGAGGCATTTCCCAGTTTATCAAGCTCAAGAGTCGGATGCCACTGACACTCATGTCCACCTCTTCTGGACAGTCCTCTGTGACTGTACTGGCCCACACTGACCTCATTTTTTGATTCCCAGTCACAGCAGTTTAGCACTGAATTGTTTCATGGGTGCAGATGTGGCTCTCCAAATAGACTTAAGTTCCTTGAGGGCAAACACAGACTCATAGACTCATACTTCTTTGTTAACTTTGTTATCTAAGTTCATTGCTGGATTCTTGGTTGATAATCAATGCAACTTGGGTCACTAACATTCATTTTTCATTCCTTTTTTTTTTTTATGAGATGGAGTCTTGCTCTGTCACCCAGGCTGGAGTGCAGTGGCACGATCTCAGCTCACCACAACCTCCACCTCCCAGGTTCAAGCGATTCTCCTGCCTTAGCCTCTCAAGTAGCTGGGATTACAGGCATGCACCACCATGCCTGGCTAACTTTTGTATTTTTAGTAGAGACAGGGTTTCATCATGTTGATCAGGCTGATCTCAAACTCCTGACCTCGTGATCCACCCGCCTCAGCCTCCCAGAGTGCTGAGATTACAGACGTGAGGCACTGCACCCAGCTGACATTCATTTTTCTTTCTTTTCATGGGGGTAGGAGGATGGGGGGGTGGGGAGGAGTCAGAGATCAAGAGAAGTCTCTCTTGAGAGGTCAAGGGGAAATAATAGATACCCCTTATTGAACAGCTCCTATCTGATAGCTCTTTGCCAGTGTTTTAAAATACCTTAACTACTTAATTTTTGACCCTTATAAGGAACATGGAAGATAGCTATTATTATCCCACTTTTACAAAGAAATTAAACAATAGCTTGTTTAATTTCCAATTCCTGCTCTAAATCACATACTCCTAGAAGAAGGGGCAGCGTGAGACAGTGGGGACACTCTGGGGAATGATGTCAGTGACATTGAGGCCACCAGGACCTACCACCTGTGGAAGGACAAGGTACTGGCCACAAACATTGTTCCAGGTCTAAGAGAAAAGGCCCAGTTCCTGACCCCACCCTTCTCCAGGATTTGCATTAATCCCTAATGCCTCCTTTTTCTTGGTTTTTGAAGGCAATTGAGAGAATTGAGTCGGAGAAGAAGGCCTTAAGAGAGAAAAGTCGCGGCAGCCCAGAAGACAGAGGCAAAAATCTTTCTCTTAGCCTTGATGCTGTTTTCATGGGGTTTGGTGTTTTTAGTATCTAAAATGCAACTGAGTAGGAATCCCAAGTTTCAGATAAGGGTATTTCTGTCTTCTTCTGAAGGAGCCTTAAATCTTGACTTCTTGACATTGGGCAAGAAGGAGGGAGGAATAGTACCATTTAGACACCACCTACATGTGACACCAGGTGCTTTTACCCACATTCCCTTGTTAATTTTTTTTTTTTTTTTGAGATGGAGTCTCCCTCTCGCCCAGGCTGAAGTGCAGTGGTGTACTCTCAGGTCACTGCAATATCCGCCTCCCAGGTTCAAGTGATTCTTCGGCCTCAGCCTCCCAAGTAGCTGGGATTACAGGCATGTGCCACCACACCCAGCTAATTTTTGTATTTTTAGTAGTGATGGGGTTTCACCATGTTGGTCAGGCTGGTCTCGAACTCCTGACTTCAGGTGATCCATCCACCTCGACCTTCCAAAGTTCTGGGATTACAGGCATGAGCCACCGCACCCAGCCTCCTTGTTAAATTTTTATAACACCTGGAAGGTAGGTACCACTTAATATATTTTATAGATGGGGAAACAGCCAAAGTTACTCCCTTTAGGAATAACTTACCTAAAGTCACAGCCCGTCTGCTCCTCCTTGCTGCTTCCCTGGATCAAGTGGTCTAATCAGGTAAGTCAGCAACACAGTTGGGATCTACGAGAATAGTAGTAGGAGTGTCATTGGCAGCTCAGGTGGAATGAAAAAGCGCAGTTGTAAGCACCGCACAATTGTGGACAGACCCTGTGGTTACTCAGTTATTTCCTCCTCCATTTTTTTGCAGTCAAGAGACAACAAAAATCCCAGTATTCCTGCAAGGGCTCAGAACTCAGACATGCCAGATCTTTTGTTATAAAAAGGGTAAGGGATCTTCTGCTGGGTCAGTTTCTGACTGGCTTCTGCTAGGCATGAAATAAAGATTTTATTCCTGGGGAGGAGAATACTTGGTGCCTGGGTAGTGATTATGAAGGAAAATCACAGAGTTCCTAAATCCAGAATTTCTCATGATACCCTCAAAAGGGCAGAGCCCACCCCAACCCCAGAATAGGGAGTGTTGCAGAGCTCATGTGTCTGTTTATTTTTAGAACTTAGAAGGTTTCTCGGCCAGGCATAGTGGCTCATGCCTGTAATCCCAGCACTTTGGGAGGCTGAGGTGGGTGAATCATGAGGTCAGGAGTTCAAGACCAGCCTGGCCAACATGGTGAAACCCCATCTCTACTAAAAATACAAAAATTAGCTGGGTATAGTAGTGTGCGCCTGTAATCCCAGCTCCTCAGGAGACTGAGGCAGGAGAATTGCTTGAATTGGGGCCCTGGAGGCGGAGGTTGCAATGAGCTGAGATCATGCCACTGTACTCCAGCCTGGGCTACAGAGCGAGACTCTGTCTCAAAAAAAAAAAAAAAAAAAGGTGTCTCCCCTCAGAGATGTTCAGGTCTAGTCCAGAGCCACTGTGCCATGTAGCTGCAAGGGCTGTCCACACTGCAAGCTCCTGTGTAGCTGCTCTGAGTCACACCCCATGCTAGTTGTACCACTGCAGACTTGTTGCAGATGTCTCAGGAAGCTAAGATTCAGGAGTGGTAAGGTGACTTGTCATAGGGTCATGCAGCTCATGGATGCCAGGCCCCACTTCCTGCTCAGTCCTCTGACTTAAGACAGGCTCTCCCTTCTGCCTCCCCTGCAGCAATCTGGCCCCACTGCACAGACCCTAGTTCAGATCCTCCTTGACTTATTCTTTTTTTCTTTGAGATGGAATCTCTCTCTGTTGTCCAGGCTGGAGTGCAGTAGCGTGATCTCGGTTCACTGCAACCTCCACCCTCCAGGGTTCAAGTGATTCTCCTGCCTCAGCCTCTCAAGTAGCTGGGATTACAGACCTGCAGTACCACACCTGGCTAAATTTGTATTTTTAGTAGAGACAGGGTTTCACCATGTTGGCCAGGCTGGTCTCAAACTACCAACCTCAAGTGATCTGCCCACCTCAGACTCCCAAAGTGCTGGGATTACAGGCATGAGCCACTGCGCCCGGCCCTTGGCTTGTTCTTTACACTGCATGAGTCTTAGGTATCCAGACTTTTAAATGCTGGGGAATCTGAAACAGTATGTTGTTAATTTCCTTCTTACACTTGTTAGCCTAGGAAATTCCAAAACAGCACAAGGCCTAAGGCAGGTAGGAGTCTGCAATGAAACTGTCATACAGTCCATTGATGGTGGCTGAGCTACGTGTCCTGCACAAAGTGGCATAGCCAGCACATGGCAGACTTGACACCTGACTCCAGTCATCTAACTCAGGGTCAGTGCCATGAATCATGAGCTGTTCTTCCACTGCCCATGGCCAGAGCCCAGTTAGGAAGCCATTTGGGCCATCTAGATGTTTCAGTGGGCGCCATGGCCAGAGCCCAGTTAGGAAGTCATTTGGGCCATCTAGATGTTTCAGTGGGCGCCATGGCCAGAGCCCAGTTAGGAAGTCATTTGGGCCATCTAGATGTTTCAGTGGGCGCCATGGCCAGAGCCCAGTTAGGAAGTCATTTGGGCCATCTAGATGTTTCAGTGGGCGACATGGCCAGAGCCCAGTTAGGAAGCCATTTGGGCCATCTAGATGTTTCAGTGGGCGCCATGGCCAGAGCCCAGTTAGGAAGTCATTTGGGCCATCTAGATGTTTCAGTGGGCGACATGGCCAGAGCCAGGTTAGGAAGCCATTTGGGCCATCTAGATGTTTCAGTGGGCGCCATGGCCAGAGCCCAGTTAGGAAGTCATTTGGGCCATCTAGATGTTTCAGTGGGCGCCATGGCCAGAGCCCAGTTAGGAAGCCATTTGGGCCATCTAGATGTTTCAGTGGGCGCCATGGCCAGAGCCCAGTTAGGAAGTCATTTGGGCCATCTAGATGTTTCAGTGGGCGCCTTTGGGTGGCAGTAGTTTCCTCTTTTCCATATTTTTATAGTCATCATGTTTTAGTTTTATCATAAAAATCATTTAATCATAAATATTAAAAACCACAAAGATAGTAATATCCATTGTTAGTATATTAAGAAATGCACACGAAATAAAGTTCCCCTTCCTTAATACTGCCTAAGTAGGCTTAATTATTATTATTAATTCATTATTATGCTAATAATGGATATTACTATCTGCAAGCTGTTGATAGTAATAGCAACTGGAAGTATTCAATGAATAGTTAATTAAATTATAGCACATCTTAAGATACATCATCTTAAGTGATAATTTTTTAAATGATAATTTTGAAGACAAAACTACATGAGAATCTAAAGTAGATAAAGCAGAACATAAAAATCATACATATATTATACTTCTTAGAGCGGTCAAAGTCAGCCAGACAAATCACATATGAATCATACTACAATTAAAGTTACCTATTTGCGTTTGTATACATTTGCTCAAAGCCTGTTACAACAGAAACAATGTAGATAGTACTTTGGGAGGCTGTGGTGGGTGAATCACCTGAGGTCAAGAGTTCAAGACCAGCCTGGCCAACGTGGTAAAACTCCATCTCTACTAAAAATACAAAAAAAAATATCAGGGCATGGTGGCAGGTACCTGTAATCCCAGCTACTCAGGAGGCTAAGGCAGGAGAATTGCTTGAACCTGAGAGGTGAAGGTTACAGTGAGCCGAGATCACACCACTGCACTCCAGCCTGGGTGACAGAGGGACTGCATCTCAAAAAAAAAAAAAAAAGCAAAGAATGTAAGAATGTAGATAGGAGTTTGGAAGGGGTCCTAAGATCATAAATGCTCCATTTTCTCAACATTCGATAAGGTTGTCATACTGTCTTCATAATAAAGAGGGGAAGCTAGCATATTGTTTCAAACTGTCAAAATGATGAACCCCATTTTCATATTCTGCTCTTTTGCTTCAGAAAACAGCAGATAAAAATCTGCTGGCAGAGCTGTACCAGTATTCCAACTTTAACAGCTCCAAGCCAAGCGAGCTTCCCAATGGAGTGGACTTCTGCGACATGGTGGGCAATGTGATCCGTGCTGAGAGAAACCACGTTAGTGGCAAGGTAAGGAAAGAGAGCAGTGCCTGCCCTGACTTTGCCACACCATAGGGCAGATGCAGCTGTCACCCTTTAACACCCCAGGAGGAATTGAGGAACTCACCTAGGGCCACAGGCTGGCAGGTGGCTGAGCTAAGCTAGGAACCCCAGCTCAGCTTCACTGCAAAATGTAGATTCCTTCTGCCAGAGCAGCAGTCTTCAGTTTTGATCATATATCCTACTGGTGTGAAATTTTGATCGCAACCCTCATGGAAATGTGTCTGTTGATAAATTATATACTTGTTCTGTTGCCAGTCACTACAATGCATATTAGTAGGCTTAATCTCTCTTTTCTTTCCTTCTCTTTTGTGTTTCCTTCTTTCCTTCCTTCCTTCCTTTCTTCTTTTTCTTTCTTACTTTTTTGAGACAGGGTCTCCCTTTGTCACCCAGGCTGGAGTGCAGTCACCGCAGCCTCAAACTCCTGGCTCAGAGGCAGAGGTTGCAGTGAGCCGAGATTGTGCCACTGCACTCTAGCCTGGCAACAGATCGAGACTTAATCTCAAAAACAACAAAAAAAGAAAACTCCCTGGCTCAAGTGATCTTACCGCCTTAACCTCCTGAGTATCGGGCACCACCATACCGGCTAGTTTTTAAAAAAATTTTTTGTAGAGACAAGGTCTTGCTAGGTTGCCCAGGCTAGTCTCAAACTCCAGGTCTCAAGCTGTCTTCCCTTCCACATCCTCGGCCTCCCAAAGTGCTGGGATTACAGGCATGAGCTACTATGCCCAGCCAGTTGCTTCTCTTTCTTATTAAGACATTATTTTGAATATTTTCTTCTCACACTGGGTTCCTTGAGAAGAAAGGAAGGAAGTATTATAAGGCTCAGAGGAACCTGTCTGCTCAACCAACATAAACACCGGCAGCTCCGGTGATGGAGGTTCATTATAAGGAGGTCTTAGAGAAGAGAGGGAGCCCAAAAAATGGTCTTGGCTCCCTCCTGATGATGTGCCGCATGGCTCTTCATCATCTAACAACTCTGGTGTCCCCAAAGCAGGTCTGATCATTGTCCCCTAAGCTCTTAACCAGTCACCCCACCATTCCTGAGACCCAGCATCTCAATCTCTTCCACCTGTAATTCTCAATGCTGCTTTGAGCCACACCCCCATCTCTCTATCTCTGTCTCCCTCTCCCCATGCCATTTCCTCCTTTCTTCTTCATGGCTTCTTCCTGCTGCCTTCTCTCTGGGCTATGTCTGTCCCATCTATTTCTCACATTCTGACTTCCTAAGGGAGATACTCTATTTGGGCCAGTCACTGCCCAGAAAGAGTGCCATCTGCTGGCATGGCCTGCAGTCAGCCAGTGGAAGGGGCGCTGGTCTCTGGGTCTGGCAGTGGTGGCCCAGGTGTCAGAGTACCTGATTCCCTTTGCTCCTGCTTTCCTCAGGGGAGAGGCGGTAGGAGGAACAGGTGCTCAGAGTATCACGTTCCCTACAGGACAGTGTACAAAGATGCTCACCACAGCATTCATTGCAATAGCAAGGAAATGGAAAGCAGTATGCATTGGTTGATGTGAGTTGCTGTTGGCTGAGCGTAGGAGCTGAGAGCTAGAGGTAGTTGGTGTGGAGCAGCTGTCCAGAATCTAGAGTTGTGGGTTCCACTTCTGGCTCAGCCACTTGCCACTTTGGTCCTCAGTTTCTTCATCTACGAGATAATAATGTGTGCTTCATAAGATCATTAAAGGGGTTAAGTGAGAGTATGTAAAATGACCTGAGTAGGGCCTCACTGGCAGGTTAGATGGTTTTTCTGTTCACTCGAAAATAGGTTGACTCCAGATGAATTTTTTAGAAAAGAATGACAACAATAATAATAATGTGAATTTCATTTCTTTTCAAGTGTTTCTGTTCGGGTAGAGAATTAGAGAAGTTTCTCTCTTCTCCTTCCCTAAGAGCCATCTGGCTGGATAGCTTTTGGTGGATATTTCATGAGAGGTACCAGGTAAATACAGATCTGCTTGTTTCTCGGCCTTGCTTATTTTTCTACAGAATAAATTCCATCCTCTTTGACCTGGGCTACAAGCCCCTCTGATCCCATGGAGCACCCCGCCACCTTACCTGTCACCTGGTCCCCTCCCCACCTGTGCTTCAGCCAAACACCCTCTGCTTCAGTCATTGCACAGTATCCTGTGGCTCCTCCAGGTGTTAGGAGCTGGTGGCTCGGCTGTCACAGGTGGGGTTGAGAGCAGACCTCAGGGCTTCTGGGCCAGAATTAGGGCGCTGTCTTCAACAGCACTCTGCCTCTGTGTATGTGCTTGGTAAATCTCAACCCCAAAATGAACATGTTATTTTGTAAAGCATATGAGGCGGCCTGGCGTAGTGGCTCACACCTGTAATTCCAGCACTTTGGAAGGCCGAGGTGAGTGGATCACCTGAAGTCAGGAGTTCAAGACTAGCCTGGCCAACATGGTGAAACCCCATCTCTACTAAAAATACAAAAATCAAGCCAGGCGCAGTAGCTCACGCCTGTAATCTCTGCACTTTGGGAGGCTGAGGCAGGTGGATCACCTGAGGTTAGGAATTCGAGACCAGCCTGGCCAACATGGTGAAGCCCTGTCTCTACTAAAAATACAAAAAATTAGCTGGGCATGGTGATGGGCACCTGTAATCCCGGCTACTCGGGAGGCTTGAAGCAGGAGAATCACTTGAACCCAAGAGGTGGAGGTTGCAGTGAGCCAAGATTGCACCATTGCACTCCAGCCTGGGCAACAGAGCCAGACTCCGTCTCAAAAACAAACAAAAAAAACGACCACATGAGGCTAAATATCTTGAGAATAAGATTCCTGGAAATGGAAGCAATGCTGATTTTAAAAATCCCAGCCCCTTACTTGTTGCAGCAAGGGGTTTTAGTAATTCCTTTTTTCTTTCTATTCCTGGCAGCCAAACAAGGAGCTCCAGAATAAGCTGTTCGACCGGATAGCCCGGAACTACGCCTTACTTTTGTTGCACCTCCCCAAGTCCCACTATGAAGAGGCACTCTTAAAAGTGAGCATCAGCCACTATATGAAAAAAGGCACATTCGATTTCATTTCTGATGCCAAGAGAATGTCTTAAACATTCTTTCCATAAGGGAGTAATTAGCAAATTGTGATAATCCATAGACTGACTTGGAATGCAGAAGTTACAGAAATAACATGGAGCTATTTATACTGATTGGGAGATGCAATGATATATGTAAGTGAAAAACAAAGCAACTTACACAACTCTATGTGATATATACATGTATATGTATATGTACCTACGAATAGAAAAAAAACCTGGACAAATATTTACCAAACTCTTAGCAATGCTTATTACTGGGAAGTCAGGTTATAAGAAACTTTCCCTTTCCATTTATTTATTTATTTAGAGAAGAGTCTCACTCTGTTGCCCAGGCTGGAGTGCAATAGCACAATCTCAACTCACTGCAACCTCTGCCTTCTGGATTCAAGCGATTCTCCTGCCTCAGCCTTCTGAGTAGCTGGGATTACAGGCATATACCACCACACCCAGCTAATTTTTGTTTTTAGTAGAGACAGGGTTTCCCCATGTTGGCCAGGTTGGTCTCAAACTCCTGACCTCAAGTGATCTGCCTGCCTCGGCCTCCCAAAGTGCTGGGAATACAGGTGTGAGCCACTGCACCTGGCTTCCCTTTCAATTTTATATTTTTCTGTAGTATTTAAATAGGCATGTAATTTAAAAATTAAAAAAGTGACCATACATACATACTTTTTATATGGGTATATATGTATGTATATATGTACTAAAAGGATTGTTAGGAGAAAATATAAGTGAATACTTACATGATTTGGGGCTGAGAAAGGACTTTTTTTTTTTTCTCTAGAGACAGACAGAGTCTGGCTTTGTTGCCAGGGTGGTACAATCATAACTCACTGTAGCCTCAAATTCCTGCATTTGACCAATCCCCCTCCTCAGCCTCCTGAGTAGCTTTGACTACAGGCATGCACCACCTCTCCTAGCTAATTTCTTTCTTTCTTTCTTTCTTTTTTTTAAGACAGAGTCTCTCTGTTACCCAAGCTGGAGTGCAATGGCATGGTCTTGGTTCACTGCAACCTCCACCTTCCGGGTTCAAGTGATTCTCCTGCCTCAGCCTCCCAAGTAGCTGGGATTATAGACATGTGCTACCACACCCAGCTAATTTTGGGGTTTTTTTTGTATTTTTAATAGAGATGTGGTTTCACCGTGTTGACTGAGCTGGTCTTGAATTCCTGACCTCAGGAGTTATATGTATATATATACAAATTTTTTTTATTTTTTTTAATTTGTATTTTTGTAGAAACAGAGTCTTGCTATATTGCCCAGTCTAGTCTCCAACTCCTGGCCTCAAGCAACCCTTCCACCTAGGCTTCCCAAAGTGCTGGACTTACAGGCTTTAACCACTAAGCCCAGCCAGGACTTTGTAAATATGACCTGGAGGAACTGGCCATGAAGGAAAGGACTGGTAGATTTAACTATATAAAGTTTTTAAAAATTACTACAAAGTTAAAGACAAATGGCAAACTATACAAACATACAGGTAGCCTGTATGTCACATAACATAAAGAACTCTTACAAATCAATAAGAGAATATCGAACACTCCATAGATTAATGGACAAAGTGTATAAACTACAAATTCACCAAGGAAGAAGTATGAGTGGGGAAAAAGTTCGCCCTTAACAGTAACAAAAAATGCAAACAGTAAGAATTTGATACCCCTTTTCCTTTTTTTAAGACAGAGTTTCACTCTTGTTGCCCAGGCTATAGTACGGCTGATCTTGGCTCACTACAACCTCTGCCTCCGGGGTTCAAGCAATTCTCCTGCCTCAGCCTCCCAAGTAGCTGGGATCACAGGTGCCTGCCACCACACCTGGCTAATTTTTTGTATTTTTAGTAGAGACAGGGTTTCATCGTGTTGAGCAGACTGGTCTCAAACTCCCGATCTCAAGTGATCCGCCCGCCTCGGCCTCCCAAAGTGCTGGGATTACAGGCATGAGCCACTGTGCTCGGCCCCCGTTTTACTTCTTAGGTTATGTAGGTTAAAGAGTATAGTCGAGTGCAGTGGTACACACCTATAGTCCCAGCTACTCAGAAGGCTGAGACGAGGATTAAAGGATCATTTCAGCCAGGAGTTCAAATCGAGCTTGGGTGACACAGTGACAACCTTGTCTCAAAAAAAAAAAAAAAAAAAGTCCTTCCTCATCCCCAAATCATGTAAGCCAGGGTGGAGATGTTGAGAACATGGCCTGAGCGCTGCTTGCTCCGCAGAGGCTGCCTTCACTTCTGAGCAAAGCCGTGTACACCAGCTTCTGTTGCTGTTTCCCACAGTCCTGGTTCAACACGCACGAATTCAAGTCTGACATCTGTAACACAATAAGCCTGTGGATTTCAGGTGAGAGCTGACTTTTTTCCACTGGGGAAAGCAGTTCTGGGAAAACGTTTTCCACTGGTACCTAGGTATGTTATTGTTTGCTATGACACCCCTTCATCAAGACATTCTTCCTCTTCTTTCCTTAACATTAAGGAGAGCAAAGTATGTGGTTGGAGCCCCAAGGAATACAAATTTTCCTGCTTCAGCTGAACAGTTCCGAGACATCCCTTCCTAAGCCCCTCCCCCTCCTTTTTTTTTTGAGATGGAGTCTCTCTCTGTTGCCCAGGCTGGATTGCAATGGTATGATCTCGGCTTACTGCAGTTTCTGTCTCTGGGGAAGTGATTCTCCTGCCTCAGCTTCCTGAGTAGCTGGGATTACAGGCACATGCCACCCACACTCAGATAATTTTTGTAATTTTACTAGAGACGGGGTTTCAACCATGTTGGTCAGGCTGGTCTCAGACTCCTGATCTCGTGATCCCCTCGCCTTGTGATCTGCCTGCCTTAGCCTCCCAAAGTGCTGGGATTACAGGCGTGAGCCACTGCATAGGTGTTCATTCCAGGGCTGCGGTGCTCCAAAGCTAGGTATTTGACCATTATACCGCCCTGCCTCCCATTTTCTGACTGTCTTCTATTCGTGCTCTCACCTTGCTATTTCCCTTAACGTCCAAGGCTACACTTCCTTACCCCAATTTATCCCTGGTAATAAACCCTCTGTCCACTTTGTCCAACGGAGCCAGCAGCTTTGCACAGTGGCTCAAATGTCTTAAGTAATCTTCGGAAGCATCACTGTCAAACATGTAGAGAGAAGCCATTTCTGGCAATTAGCTAAGTGTGATAATGTTAAGCAAACATTTGCTAAGCACCTACTGTATTTATTTTGTCCCAGACCTAGAGCTCTGGAGGTAAAAAAATGAATAGGACCCAGCCCCTGTTCTCAGGGAACTCATGGTCTAGCCAGAACAGGGGGCATGGAAAACAAATAACTATGATGTCTTCACATTTGCAAAGCATGTCAGGGACCCACACGCTATGCGTTCTGACCCTTACACACAGTTGACAATTAGGTAGGGCAGGGTCATCATCCCCATTTTCCAGAGGAATAAGCCAAAGCCCCCTAGAGAGGAAGTGACTCGCCCAAGGCCACAAGGCTAGTACGGGGCAGGACTAACCCTGGAAGCCCAGCCTCCCAGGAGTCAGCAGGGGATCCCCAGGCCTCTTTACAGAAGTCTTCATTCTCACTCTTTTCTTTTCTTTTCTTTTTAGAGATGCGGTCCCGCTATGTTGCCCAGGCTGGCCTCCTGGGTTCTAGTGATCCTCCCACCTTGGCTTCTCAAAGTTCTGGGATTATGGGCGTGACCACCAGGCCCAGTCCCATTCTTACTGTTGACTCCTCCCTTAGGCACCTATCCTTGCCCACAGAGCTATGACAGTTGGGACTACTCAGAACTAGACCCGGAGCGATTCCGCAGAGAAGAATTAATGTCACAGAGAGGAAGACTGAGAAACGGTAATTACGGCCTCCTGCCCCCTTTGCCACTACCATATCCGACTACCATCTAACTGAGGGAGGAGTTGATGTCCTTACCATTGATGTCCTCAGGTTAGCTTCTCTCTTGAGTACCCCCAAACTAGCCACCCAAATTCTTCATGTTTGTGGACTGGAATGTACAACACAATCATTGGGAGGCGGGGGATGGAATTTTGTATTGGAAATAGTAGATGCCCGATAATGAATGTGTACCTATGTGCCAGGCACTGTGCTGTGCTCTCTGCTCTGTCACCCAGGCTGGAGTGCGGTGGTGCGATCTCAACTCACTATAACCTCCGCCTCCCAGGTTCAAGCGATTCACCTGCCTTAACGTCCTGAGTAGCTGGGATCACAGGCACCCACTACCATGCCTGGCTTACTTTTCTATTTTTAGTAGAGACGGGGTTTCATCATGTTGGCCGCGCTGCTCTCAAACTCCTGACCTCAAATGATCCACCCGCCTTGGCCTCCCAGAGTGCTGGGCTTACAGGCGTGAGCCACCGTGCCCTGCCAGCCCATTTTATTTCATCCTCACAACAACCTGCTGTGGCACACACTGAGTCCACTTCACAGATGAGGAAACTAAAGCTCAAAGAAGCAACTTGTCCAAGGTCGACTTTTTTATTTCACCCAGAAGACTCTGAGCTCTGGGTGCCAGGCAACCTACCCAGCACTGGGAACACGGTGGTGGAGGCAAGCCCAGTCCCCCTGTGGCAGGGCCAGGGAGGCCCAGAATCAGGGCTTCTGCCTGGAAAGGTTTGTGTCTTTGCCCAGGAAGGAATTCAAGGACGAGCTGGTTGTAGAAGAAAGCAGCTCATCTTGACTATTGCGGCCCTCTGGCAGCTTCTGAAGAGCAGGGCTACCCCATAAGCAGTGTGTGGAGAAGAGCAGCTCAGGGGCAGCGTTCTGCAGGCTCCTTTATACCCACTTTTAATTACAAAGGGACAGGTTATTCAGAAATTTCTGGAGAAAGAGGTGGTAAATTCCAGGTCCAGTCATTGCTAGGCATGGATAAACTGTCCTGATGCTGGTGGGCATGGCTTATGGAGACAGTCTTCAATTAGATCCGGAGTAGAGTTCCGCTTCCTACCTCACCTTCTTACCATCTAGTGGGAAATTCAGGCAACATAGCTGCCCTGCAGGGGATTTAGGCACTGCAATGGGGAATTGAGAGGGGTAAGGCAGCAGGGGGAGGTGGACCCAGTCCAGCCCTGAGAAGGTCAGTGTGTGGCGTTTGAGCTGAGATTTGAAGAGTGTGTTGGTCTGAGGACCCGCAGCACCAGCATCTCTCCAGATCAGCTGACTCCGACCCTGCAGTTTATCAAGATTTCCAGTGATCTAGAAGCACATTCTAGTTTGAGAAGCCCTGGTTTAGGGCACAGAGGAAGAGAATGCCTGCACCCCTAGGAGCAGAGCACGGTGATAGTTATTAGCTGGAAATTACAATAGCGATGACTTACTCAGGGCCAGACACTTTTACCTGTTAGCCCTCTAGGCATTTCCATTTCCTGACCCCTTCATAGGTGTGGTTTCCCTAAGGTCATCATGCATGCTCAGAGAGGTTTTTTCTTTTTCTTTTTGTGGGGCAGAGTCTCTGTTGCCCAGGCTGGAGTGCAGTGGCGTGATCTCGGCTCCCTGTATGTAACCTCTGCCTTCCAGGTTCAAGCAATTCTCAAGCCTCAGCCTCCTGAGTAATTGGGATTACAGGCATGTCCCAGCTAATTTTTGTATTTTTAGTAGAGACGGGGTTTCACCATGTTGCCCAGGCTGGTCTCAATCTCCTGAGCTCAAGTGATCCGGCCACCTCAGCCTCCCAAAGTGCTGGGATTACAGGCATGAGTCACCATTCCTGGCCAACTTGAGGAGTTTTTTCAAAGTGAAGAAAAAACCCAAAAGTTACGTGAGTTTAATGACATTTTAATGAATATTAAATTTAATGGCTATGAGTTTGATCGATTGCTTCTTAAGCATTTAAGCATTTCAGTTTTTCAGAGTTCTGAATTGGTTTTTCTTCTGAAGCCAGTCCTTTTTTCCCTGTGGGTTGAGTGTCTGCCCTGTGCACAGGGCTGTGCACACATTATTTCCTTTCCTTGGTGCATCAGCCCTAGAGGGAGATAGTATTCACAGTCCAACAGGATCAGGGTAACTTGCCCCGCAGGTGGAGTCAATAGAGAGACTCTAGTTCTGGTGGGTATCACTCTCTCCAGAAACGAGGCTGTCTCAAGCTCCTGGGCTGCAATCTTCATTGCCCCATGACAAGAGGTACTAATAACAGCTTTTCTCCTTCTCTAGAAAGGGAGTTTTCTTTGTTTACTGGTAAGAGAGCCTTATTCCAGAAGCCAGCCCAGAGCAGGAAATTCTACCACCCTCAGGTAAGTGGGGAGGCACAGACCAGGATCCCTTGGGCCCCAGGCCCCATAAGCTTCAGAAACCCTGGGTTCTTCTGGAGCATCAGTGGCCTCCTGTTGCGTGTATCTGTACCCCTTGCCCGGGTCTAAGCCATCTTCTAAGTAAGAACCCCGGGAGGCCTCCAGGCCTCAGTGCAGCAATTGAGAAGAGAGAGGGAAGGAACCAGATTTTCAGTATAGGCTGCAATGCAAGATGCTTTTACTTATTTTTTTTTTTTCTCTACTAATTCTCATGGCAAACCTGAAACCTAGCAGTCATCCCTGACACCTACTTTCTCCTCTGCCTTATTGATCTTCCTAGATGTACCTCCCAGAACTTGCTCTTCCACTCCCACCACCCTAGTTTGAGCTCCCATCACTACTGCAGTGGCACCTAACTGCTCTCCCTCAGCTTCTCAGACACCTCTAGGGCCATCTTTTCAAAGTACAAAGTTCAAAGTATATCATCCCATCACCACTTGACCCTATCCTAACCCCACACCCTAAAAACCCTACTTCCAGGCTGGACACTGTGACTCGTGCCTGTAATCCCAGCACTTTGGGAGGCTGAGGCAGTCAGATCACTTGAGGCCAGGAGTTCAAGACCAGCCTGGTCCACGTGCTGAAACCCCGTCTCTACTAAAAATACAAAAATTAGCCAGGTTTGGTGTAATGCACCTGTAGTCCCAGCTACTCAGGAGGCTGAGGTATCAGAATCGCTTGAACCCGGGAGGCAGAGGTTGCAATGAGCTGAGATCACACCACTGCACTCCATCCTGGGTGACAGGGTAAGACTTGTCTCAAAAAAAAAAAAAAAATCCTACTTCCAGCCAATAAAGCAATACTCTCCAAACCCCAGAAGGCTTCCTCTAGCCTTTGGGTAACTGATCTGCCCCAAGCCCTTCTCCACCTTCCTGGACTCGCAGGGGTCCTGCCACAGAGGATTTATTTCAGTTCCTTGTGTACCATACTCCTTCCCTATATGTGGCCTCTGTACCTCCTGTTCTTCTTGTCCCAGGCAAGCTCCCATCACCACTGCCATTGTCATGGTCAGCATCTCTTCCCAACTTCCAAGTCCAGAGACATTAGTAACATGCAGTTAACCAAATGCCACAAATAAAGGCCTACTTTTTTTTTCAAAGACCTGGAAAAAAGTAAAAATCCAGGGCATGGTTTAGCAAACTATGAATCGGACCTTCCAATGCCTGGGTTTTTTTTGTTTTTTTTTTTTGAGTCAGAGTCGCTCTCTGTCACCTAGGCTGGAATGCAATGGCACAATCTCAGATCACTGCAACCTCCACCTCCTGGGTTCAAGTGATTCTCCTGCCTCAGCCTCCCAAGTAGCTGGGACTACAGGTGCACACCACCATGCCCGGCTAATTTTTTGTATATTTAGTAGAGACGGGGTTTCACTGTGCTAGCCAGGATGTCTCGATCTCCTGACCTTGTGATCAACCTGCCTTGGCCTCTCAAAGTGCTGGGATTACAGGCATGAGCCACCTCTCCCAGCCTCACTGCCTGTTTTTGAAAATAAAACTTTATTGGCACACAGCCATGGCCATTCATTTACTATTGTCTACAACTACCTTTGCACTGAAACAGCAAAGTTGAGTACTTGCAATAGAGACTTTGTGACCTGCAAAGCCGAATATTTATCATCTGGCTCTTTGCAGAAAAAAACAGTCTGCCAACCCCTGGTCTAGGAGATACATAGTCATCCTTCCATCTCAGTTCAGGTTCTTGCAGGGAGAGAAAAAAACATTTCATTTACCCTCTTAGGCAAAGTATATGGAGCCCTACAAGTTAAACTGACAAAAGATAGACAGTTTAACAGGAGAAAGGCATTCAAATTTTATTTGATGTTAATATTTTTACATGACACAGGGCTTCATAGGAAAATAGTGAAAACCTCAAAGAAGTGGCTAGGTCTGATAGTTCACATACCACCCTAACAAAGAGCAATTAATTGTGAGATGTGACAAGACAAAGAAAAAGAGGTTTGGGCTTCTAGGGATGGTAAATTGTGGGAAAGTAAATATATGGGGGAAACTAATCTAATGGAAGATAAGGATTATTTCAGTAAGATTTGTATATGCAGATTCAGGGGGTGCTATCTCCAGTGAAAAGTTGTCTCTTCTTCCTGGTATGGGAGATGGGAGTGGGGGACAGCTTCACAAAGGGAAATTTCTGCTTTGCTTTTAGATGGAAAGTGGGATTGTAAAGAGCTCTTCCTGCATCTGCTGTTTCTCAATTGCCTTCAGCTCAAAGTAATTCTTATGTCAGAGTGGCCTATTTTGGGATGGCAGATTCTGACCCCCTTCACTGTCATCCTCAGGGTCAGCTTTCTGCCTCTCTGGGCTGGATAAGGTTACTTGTTATATATGCCAATGTCCCTTTCCTTCAAAGCAGTCATGTAATTATGTGGTCATTACCCTGATCATGGCTGTTTCCCTCACTGATCTTTTTTTTTTAATTGGTTTATTCTTTTAGAGACAGGGTCTCACTCTGTTACTCAGGCTAGAGTGCAGTGGTGTGATCATAGCTCACTGCAGCCTCAACCTCCTGGATTCAAGTGATCCTACTGCCTCAACCTCCTGAGTAGCTGGAACTACAGGTGCATGTCACCATGCCCAGCTAATTAAAAAAATTTTTTTTAGTAGAGATGGGGTCTTGCCATGTTGCCCAGGTTGGTCTTGAACTCCTAGTTCATGCAGTCCTCCCACCTCAGCCTGCTGAAGCACTTTAATTATTTGTGTGAGCCACTAGGCCCAACCTCCCCAGTAATCTTTAAACCCTAGGCAACATTCCCACTTCTAGTACCTGAATGCCTCATTTCTAATGACATACTTCCTTAACAAATGGTACCTGAGGCTTGATTCATTAAGATAGCCCCCTCCTCTGTTTGGTCCAGGGTTAGTAGTGTTTCCACTCTGGAACATTCTCCAAGGGGAGGTTTGGGATGGGTATGGGTGTACCTTTCTTTTGTAAAGTGGTAAAAGGCTGTTGTGAATGCCTGTACATACTCAGGACAATTCTTTCCAGGAAGCATTTTGAAAGGAAAGCTAAGGATCTGGAAATGGATGTTCTCAGAACTGTCAGTCCCGTTAGTCCTTGGAAAGTCTTCGTGTCCCCACAGGGTTTGAAGATCTCTGCTTAAAAATCTGTTCTTGGCCAGGCACGGTGGCTCACACCTGTAATCCCAGCACTTTGGGAGGCCAAGGCAGGCAGATCACTTGAGGTCAGGAGTTCAAGACCAGTCTGGCCAACATAGTGAAACCCCCATCTCTACTAAAAATACAAAAATTAGTTGGGCGTGGTCATGGGCGTCTGTAATCCCAGCTACTCAGGAGGCTGAGGCAGGAGAATTGCTTGAACCTTGGGGGTGGAGGTTGTAGTAAGCAGAGGTCACACCTCTCCACTCCAGCCTGGGCAACAGTTATTGCTGTTCTATCTCTTTTACCTCCTAGAACAGACCTAACACAAAGAAGACACTTAACAATATTTCTGGACTTGGTGAATGAGGTCATCTATGTAAACTCTTGCCCATTCTTAGCATATTATGATGCTCTGTAAACGTCAGTTCCCAAAAAGCACAGATGAAACAGGTGCTGCAGAAGAACAGCCACCACTCAGAGACCAATACCAAAATATTATTCAGTGTTTGGGTACTGCCTGTCACAACAGCTTGAAACAAATGTGTGTTCTTTGTACTGAAATACATAAACTCTTCTGACAGTTATTTCAGGAACCCAGTTAAGAGATTCCATTTACTGCCCCCAAAATAGAAATAATCAAAAACTGAAACCTTGAGCACAGCTGAAGTTTTAATGGGTAAACCAGGATAGAGGGAGTAATTGGGTTTTGTGGTGGGGATAGAGCCTCTCTTGTCAAGAGCAGACACATTTTCCCATCTGCTCAATGAAAGCACTGGCTGTGTTCAAAATATGCTTTTCATGGCAATTGTCTGTCTGAGAGTCCACAATTCAGGGGAATGAGATGCAATTACTTTAGGTCTCTGACCTGCTGTCTGCCCTTCTCTTGGTTTTTTTTTGTTGTTGTTGTTTTTTTTTTTGAGACGGAGTTTCACTCTTGTTACCCAGGCTGGAGTGCAATGGCACGATCTCAGCTCACTGCAACCTCCGTTTCCTAGGTTGAGGCAATTCTCCTGCCTCAGCCTCCTGCGTAGCTGGGATTACAGGCATGCACCACCATGCCCAGCTAATTTTTTGTTTTTAGTAGAGATGGGGTTTCACCATGTTGACCAGGATGGTCTCGATCTCTTGACCTTGTGATCCACCGGCCTTGGCCTCCCAAAGTGCTGGGATTACAGGCTTGAGCCACCGTGCCCGGCCCTGTTCTCTTGTTTAAGTGTTAGGGATTTGCACAGTGGGAATGAAAAAGTACCAAACCACAGAGCTGGCTTCTGCAATGAGACCAGCTATCAATGAGGACACCTACCTATTAGAGACTGAGTCATTTGTTCATTTAATAAATATTTTTAAAGATAGAACAGTTTTAGGAAATGGAATCTGAGGGAGAAAATGATAGGGAGGGAGAAAACCAGGGAGATGCAAAGGGCAGAGGGCAGGATATTCTCCCCTGCCTCCTTGTGTCTCCCTTTCCTAGCTCCCAGGTCCCAAACCTGGAGAAAGAAGTAGTCGAGAGACTGGACTATCAAATTAGGCACGGATTAGAATCCTAGCTCTTAGCCTGGCCAACATGGTAAAACCGTGTCTGTACTAAAAGCACAAAAATTAGGTGGGTGTTGTGGCATGCACCTGTGGGCCTAGCTAGTTGGGGGACTGAGGTATGAGAATCGCTTGAACCCGGGAGGCAGAGGTTGCAGTGAGCTGAGATCATGCCACTGCACTCCAGCCTGGGTGACAGAGTGAGAACCTGTCTCAAAAAAAAAAAAAAAAAAAAGAGTCCTAGTGCTCAGATGAGTCATTTCATCTCCCTGAACCTCAGTTTTTCTTATCGGTAAAATGTATACCTAGAGAAGTCAGTCACAATGTGGGTGTTAAATATCTTATATGCAAACATTCAGCAAACAGCATAGCAGAGTAAGAACTCAGTAAACATGAGCTCTTATATTATACAAGGGTGATATCTAGAGAAACACAGCCGGAAATTAGGAAAAGTGATGTCTTTGAGCCAGGAAGGCATACATTTCAGGACCCCCTTTCCCCATTACATATGTCAGGTGCAAACATGGATTATTAGGATCCTGGGCTTTGTCTCTGGGAAGATGATGAGCTGGCTAGAAACTACATTGTCAGGGTCCAAGGACATTCCTGGGCTGAGACCTTGGACATAGGTCCTTGCAGGGGACAGGGAGGGAATATATATATACATATATATTCAGGTTTTGTAGAGCCAAAAAGGAAAAAAAGGCAGTGAAAGAAGGCCACTGTAAGGAGGAATCATCATCAGACTTCTCAGTTGCAGACAATAGAATCCACTCAAGCTACTTTAAGTAGAAAGAAATGTATTGAGATGGGGCTTCTCCATGTTGGTCAGGCTGAGGCAGGAGAATCACTTGAACCCAGGAGGCGGAGGCAGCAGTGAGCCGAGATCGTGCCATTGCACTCCAGCCGGGGCAAGAGCGAGACTCTGTCTCAAAAAAAAAAGAATGAGCATTGATGCTTCATTGAGCCCTGGGAGTGTTTTCCTTGCAACCACTTCAACACTATAAAAATCAGTAGCTGTTGGACAGCCAGCTGCATGATGTCTGGGAAGTCCCTTCAGCTTTCTCCTGCCCATTCAAATATCACATTTCTATAAAAGCAAATGGTTGTTGTTGAGGCTGGTGGACTGCTTGTCTGCCACTTGGTGGGCCATCTGTTTAACATTGCCAAACTCCTACTCATCCTTCAAGACAGAATGCAAGTGTCTTCTCTCCTTGGAAGGCCTCCAGCTCTCGCCCCGACAGAATCCAGCTCTAGCTTCCCGTGATACTCTCCTCACACTGCTTATAGCCAACTATGAGTTGTTTCCCAATATCCCCTTGTCTCCTTCACCTATGAAAAAAAAAAACACCTCTGATTTTTTGCTGGGCATATACCTGGCCAAAATAAAGCATATATTTTCTAGCCTCCCCTACTTCTGTGTGTGGCCATTTGACTAAGATCCAGTTAATGAAATACAAGTGGATGTGTCATGTGGCAGTTTCTGGAAACTTTCCTTAAAAACCAGCTTTATCTCTTTGTCCTTTCCTCCCTCCTGCTGCCTAGAATGTGAATGTGATAGCAGGAGCTCCAGATGCCTTCCTGGACCCTAAAAACATGGCTGGGTGTGATAGCTCACACCTGTAATCCCAGCACTTTGAGAGGCTGAATCAGGCAGATCACCGGGGGTCAGGAGTTTGAGACCAGCCTGGCCAACGTGGTGAAACTGTCCTCAAAATACAAAATCAGTCAGGTATAGTGGCACACACCTAAAATCCCAGCTACTTAGGAGGCTGAGGCAAGAGAATTACTTGAACCAAGGAGGTGAAGGTTGTAGTGGGCCAAGATCATGCCATTCCGCTTCTGCCTAGGCGGCAAGAGCAAAACTCTGTCTCAAAAAAAAAAAAAGAACAAGGGTCTTATCTGAAACCGTGCTCTGGAAGAAGTCAGAATCTGTCCGGGTGCCGTGGCTCACTCCTATAAGCCCAGCACTTTGGGAGGCTGAGGCAGGAGAATCACTTGAGGTCAGGAGTTTAAGACGAACCAGGCCAACATGGTGAAACCCCATCTCTACTAAAAGAACAAAAATTAGATGGGCAGAGTGGTGGTCACCTGTAATCCCAGCTTGGGAAACTGAGGCAGGAGAATTGATTGAATCCCGGGAGGGAAAGTTTACAGTGAGCCGAAATTGCACCATTGTAGTTCAGCCTCAGCAACAGAGCAAGATTCCATCTCAAAAACAAAAATCAGAATCCCTGAGGATTTAGCACCACCAGTGCTTAGAAACACCGTATGAGCCCAGGCTTGCCTGCCTTCAGGCTTTTATGTGAGAAATTTCTTTCTTTCTTTTTATTTATTTATTTTAAGACAAGCTCTTGCTCTGTCACCCAGGCTGGAGTGCAGTGGTACAGTCATGGCCTACTGCAGCCTCAACCTCCCAGGCTCAAGCGATCCTCCCACCTCTGCCTCCCAAATAGCTGGGACTACAGGCGCACACCACTATATGCTTGGCTAATTTTTTTTTTTTTTTTTTTTTGTAGAGACAAGGTCTCACTATGTTGTCCAGGTTGGTGGGAGAGAAATTTCTACCTATTTTGAGCCACTGTTATTTTGAGTCTCTGTCACATTCAAACATAATCCTAACTTCTGTAGCCTCTCTATAACAAATACGGGATGCCTGCCACACTTTAGTGTAACTATTTACTGTTATCTCCCCTGCTCGAAGGGAAGCGCCTCAAGTCAGGGGCTCGATTTCATTGTTTGCCCAGTGCAGACACAGTAGTAGTTGCCCAGTGAAACATTTGCTGAGAAAAGTGATTGCATAAAGGATGATAGCAATGTTTTTGGAGCACTCACCAGGAGCACTCACGTAATTTGCATATATTAGCTGACTTAATCCCACAAGGAAACCAAAGTGGTGAAGAGGTTTGATGACTTGGCCTCAGATCTCTGGCTGTTGAGTGAGAGAATGGGGACTGGAACCCTGGTTGGCCTGGGTCCCAGCCCATGTGTTTTCCACATCAGCCACTACTGTCTGCTGTGCTCCTGAGAGGACCTGAAAAATCCTCTACATGTTCCTTTGCTGAGAACAATAAGAAAAAGCAAAGAAATTGCATGTATTATTTTTTTGTATTTTTCTGACTACCAACTTTATTTTGTTCTCTCTCCCTCTCTTTCTCCCTCTCTCTCTGTCTCCTGAAGTCTTTTAGTGCAAATTCACCCAATGAAAAAGCCTCTTCGGCCAAGCAGAACTCAGAAAAAAGTTCACAAATACAGAACACTGCAAAAGGTATATTGACTACCAAAAAGGGAAATGTAGACTGAGTTATTATCTCCAAAACCCTGGTTTCTTGAGTTTGTTTGAACAGAATTTGCTACCGGACTCTGTACTTGGGGTTCCACCCTGGGTGTTGGCACCAAGTACTATTTTATGAAAAGGTGCAAATGTCTTTTCACTTCAGCAAGCACTGATTAAGTTCCACTTTTGTGGTGTTGAGGTCAGTACAGTGCTAATATCTGTGGGGAAGAGAGGTTGTTGACACTAGAAGAAAATAAATTTAAGACATGATGACTGCTTCTCTCCCCCACCAGAAACCAGTAATTACTAAGGTTGGAAGTAATTTCACCCAGGTCTTAATCTATAAAGGTGACTCAGTGATAGCACAGAGAGGTCAGTGCCATTGAAAGAAAAGTTCAATGTTACTTGCAGTTCCCCCTGGAAATTCCCCCTGGAAATTGCAAGTAACATTAAATTCAACACACCATGCATTCAGAGCCTGGGGGGAGGCACCAGTGCTGGTCAGGAGGCAGAAAGGAACATGGAGAAGGTATAGGCCACACTCTTTTTTGAAGTTTCATTAGGAAAGACAAAGAAAGTCATGGTAACTAGTTTAGGATTAGCTGGGTGCAGTGGGATTAGTTGGGATTACACCTGTAATCCCAACATTTTGGGAGGCCAAGGCAAGAGGATTGCTTGAGCCCAGAAGTTCAAGACTGGCCTGAGAAACATAGTGAGACCCTGTCTCTACAAAAAAAAAAAAAAAAAAAAATTTAAAACTGGGCACTGTGGATGCACATCTGTACTCCCAGCTACTAAGGAGGCTGAGGTGGGAGGCTCTCTTGAGTCCCAGAGGTTGAGACTGCAGTGAGTCATGATTGAGCATTTAATGAATATTTACTATATGCCAGGTACTATGCCAAACCTTATGCAAACAGCCTGGGTGACAGTGAGACCCTGTCTCAAAAAAATTTTTTTAAGTTTAGAATTGGCTGGGTTGAATAATTCCAGTGGGCTCTAAGGCATAGGGGCTGTCGTTGGCTTGGTGTGTGAGTTAGATAGAGTTGGTTCAGAGTGTGGCCTCTGGATTGCAGGAGAGGTGTATAAGCAACTTTGTCTGTTAGTCTAGCCCTGTAATTAATGGATGGCAAACAGACAAATACAGAATATAAGAAAACATTGAACAGGAACTCTTAAGTATCATTCCAGGTAATTTTTATTTATTTATTTTTTTTATTGCGACGTAGTCTCGCTCTGTCGCCCAAGCTGGCGTGCAGTGGCATGATCTCAGCTCACTGCAACCTCCACCTCCCGGGTTCAAGCAATTCTCCTGCCTCAGCATCCCAAGTAGCTGGGACTACAGGTCCGCGCCACCACACCCAGCTAATTTCTTTGTATTTTTGCTAGAGATGGGGTTTCACCATGTTAGCCAGGCTGATCTCAAACTCCTGACCAAGTGATCCACCCACCTCGGCCTCCCAAAGTGCTGGGATTATAAGCATGAGCCACTGCGCCCAGCCAGGTAATTTCACTCATTATTATTATTTAAACTTTATTCTTTTTCTTGAGGGAGAAATGGCAGCTCAGAGAAGTTAGTATGTGAATTATGTGTCAATAAAACTGTTAAAGAAACAGCCTAGGGACCACTGATCAAGAGGTTTAGCTAGGGCCCTAAATAGAGGTAAATATTTGCAGGAAACTTTGCAAGTCCCCCAGAGTTTACATATATATTCAATTAATGAAGACCCATGTGTCAAAGAGGAATTGCTAAGGGAAATTAGAAAATATTTTAACTGAATGAAATGAGACCATCATTTCTAATATGAGCATTTATTTAAGGCTAGAGGCTACCCCCTAAACTGCTTTAGCCGGGCACAGTGGCTCACACCTGTAACCCCAGCACTTTGGGAGGCCAAGGTGGGCAGGTCACTTGAGGCCAAGAGTTTGAGACAAGCTTGGTCAACATGGTGAAACCCCATCTCTACTAAAACTACGAAATTTAACTGGGCATGGTGGCGCACACCTGCAGTTCCAACTACTCAGGAGGCTGAGACACAAGAATGACTTGAATCTAATGGTCATTTTCTTGCTAATGTCACATTGACAGAGCATCATTTTCAGACCCCGGTCTTAAAGAAACCCACAGAAGAAGTCAAGAGAATATCAGAAGCAAGAGAATGTGAAAATATGTTTCCTAAAAAGGTGAGCACATGATTGGAAATTTAATAGTAAAGGTGATTTCAAAGGAGGTGAGAGATATTATGTCATAAAATGATAATTGACATTTAATGAATACTTACTATATGCCAGGTACTATGCCAAACCTTATGCAAACTGTTTATTTTATTGTCACAGTCCTCGGAGATAGTTACTATTGTTATTCTCCAGTTTATTAATGAGCAAAGTGATTTTGAGAGCAGGTACCCAATTTGTCAAATAACACAAAGCAAATAAATGATAACAAAAGTAAAAAAAATAAAGGCTGGACACGGTGGTTCATGCCTGGAATCCTAGCACTTTGAGAGGCCGAGGCAGGTGGATCACTTGAGGTGAGGCGTTTGAGACCAGCCTGGCCAACGTGGTGAAACACCGTCTCTACTTAAAAAATGCAAAAATTAGCTGGGCATAGTGGCATGCCTATAATCCCAGCTACTCAGGAGGCTGAGGCAGGGGAATATGGCCAATATGGTGAAACCCCATTATTACTAAAAACACAAAAATTAGCTGGGCATAGTGGCATGCCTATAATCCCAGCTACTCAGGAGGCTGAGGCAGGGGAATATGGCCAATATGCTGAAACCCCATTATTACTAAAAACACAAAAATTAGCTGGGCAAGGTGGCACAGGCCTGTAGTCCCAGCTACTCGGGAGGCTGAGGCAGGGGAATTGCCTGAACCTGGGAGGCAGAGGTTGCAGTGAGCCGAGATGGTGCCATTGCACTTTAGTCTGGGCAACAGAGCGAGACTCCCTCTTAAATAAATAAATAAATAAATAAATCGCAGATAAGTGATAAAATCAAGATGTGCATGTAGACCTGACTGGCTCTGAGTGTGAGCTCTCAACCGCTGACTTTCCTCCAGCACAGCACCCAGCACAGGAAAGGCACGAGTATCATAAAGATTTTTGTCTCAGAGATGGCAGAAAATTACTATCTAAATGTCAAAATGAGGACCAGAGCAAGAGAGAAGATGGTCCCACTTCCTGTGGCCCCATCGACACGTGTCCAAAGAGTGCAGCCAGACTCAAATTGTGTTCCGGAGCCATCAAGGCACTGGGGATGTTTACGTTGGAGAAGGCCTGAGGGCTCACCTCAGATTTTTTTTTTTTTTTTCTTTGAGACAGAGTCTTGCTCTGTCTCCCAGGCTGGAGTTCAGTGGCACAGTCTTGGCTCACTGAAACATCTGCCTCCTGGGTTCAAGCAATTCTTCTGCCTCAGCCTCCCGAGTAGCTGGGACTACAGGCCTGTGCCACCACGCCCAGCTAATTTTTGTGTTTTTAGTAGTAATGGGGTTTCACCATATTGGCCAGGCTGGTCTTAAACTCCTGACCTCACGATCCGCCCACCGTGGCCTCCCTGAGTGCTGGGATTACAGGCGAGAGCCACTGTACTTGGCTTCTCCTCACATATTTTAAGGACTGTCATGTGACTCTGGAGGAAGATGGATTGGAATTATAGACAGCATGATTTTAATCTAGGGTAAGAAAGGACTTCCTAAGAGTCCAAGTTGTCACTTCAAACCCACTTTGCATCTGGCTGTGCTGCAGTCTGCTGGGTTTTGTTCCAGCTCTAGCTCTCAAACCAAGTCATTCCTCTTCCTAGATCTCTAATGCCAACCCCTTAATGCTAAGTCCTGCTTTGCTTATTTACTTATTTATTTGTTTACTTACTTACTTATTGAGACAGGGTCTTGCTCTTAATGCTAGGTCCTGCTTTGCTGATTGATTGATTGATTGAGACAGGGTCTTGCTCTGTTGCCCAGGCTGGATGGAGTGTAGTGACGCAATCTTGGCTCACTGCAACCTCTGTCTCCCAGGTTCAAGCAATTCTCCTGCCTCAGCCTCCTGATTAGCTGGGATTACAGGTGCATGCCACCACGCCCAGCTATTTTTGAATTTTTAGTAGAGACTGGGTTTTGCCATGTTGGCCAGGCTGTTCTTGAACTCCTGACCTCAAGTGATCCTCCTGCTTCAGCCTCCCATCGTGCTGCGATTACAGGCATGAGCCACAGTGCCCAGCCTCCTGCTTTGCTTTCTATCTGCTCCTTAGGTCTGATGTTCCAGAATGTCTCTTCCCTTGCCCACTGCTCCTTCTTCCCCTAGTGATGTGGCTATGAGCCAGCCCTTCCCATTTCTATGCCCAGGTCCCTGTACCCAAATCCCCTCCTCTGCCGCCTGCCTGGGAGGAATAGGATACTTACCGGCAGTGGTACTGGATGTTTCAGAAGGTAGCATGTTCCTTGTCTCCAAAGTTGGGGGAGCAAAAATTTACCTGTTGAGGTAATTTACCTGTTGCATTTACCTGTTGAGAATATTCCTGAAAGGGTGTGTATCACTTGGATTTCTTTGCTTATAAGTAACAAAGCTGTCTCTGGCCAACTTGAGCAAAAGTTGAAAGAATATTGAGTAACTAAGAAGTCTGGAGAACCAGTCCAGGGACCAGAGGAAACTCGAACTATCTCTTGAAAGTGACATCTCTGGAATGGCGAACCCTCCACACGTTTTCAGTCCATATTTTACTCTACTCAAAACTCAGAATCCGAGGAGCAGAAGTTTTGAATGGCCAGGCTATTTCAGGTGCTGTAACTGGGTGGTGGAGGTGGGGTGGGGGGCAGTAAAAGGAAGATTCTGACTACAGAGCCTGTGAAGACTTCTGAGGACCCCTCCTGTGGCTCTCATTGGGAGAGCAAGACACCTGATTTTAAACCCCCTCAGCTGGGCACAGTGGCTCACACCTATAATCTCAGCACTTTGGGAGGCTGAGGCAGGCAGATCACGAGGTCAGGACATCAAGACCATCCTGGCCAACATGGTGAAACCTCATCTCTACTAAATACAAAAAAAAAGAACCTCAAGCCCAAATGCAGTAGAGGGCTGATCACCCCCACAAAAACACACAAGAGTCAGGGGCTGTTAGGAAAGGGAAAGGACGCTGGGTTGCCAGAAGAACAACTCTCAGATAAATCTTGCAATGCATTCGTGGATCCTAGATGCTGGACTTTCATAGACTTTGAAAAATTAATCTTTTTACCAAGTAAATTCGTTAAAACAAAATTACTGCCGTCTGTCATCACAAGCTTTTTATAAAAGAAAGTCATTAATATCACAAAGCAAAAAATTTTAAAAGGTCCTTAAAGTGAATCAGTTTACTTCATGTTAGACTTAGGTGGATTTTTTTCTTGTTTCCCCCCATTTCCCTGGTGACCACACAGCATGGCCCCCATTAGGAAACAGGGTGTCAGAATCACTGGACCACATGATCCATAAATTCCCCACTAACTCCAGCTTTCTGTGATTCCATTGGTATCTTCCTATTAGAACAGCGGTTCTCAACTGGGAAGTTGTGTCCCCTGGGAGACATTTGCCCAGGTGTACAGACATTTCTCGTCACAACTAGGGGCAGAGGGGCATGGGAGGAGGCCAGGAATGCTCCTTAACATCCTGCAATGCACAAGACAGCATCCCACAACAGAGAAATAGCCAGCCCCAAATGTCAGTAGTGCTGAGGTTGGGAAACCTTGCTGGAGACAGAATAAATCCCATTAGACGGTTAATTAAATGAAACCCTATCCCATTAGGACAAGATTCGAAAATAGTGTGGTTGGGTGCTGCTGCAGCCTTGATTCATGAGGCAGAATTTTTTGTTCCATTAAAGTATAACTGCTTCTTCAAAATAAAATGTATTGTTTTAAACACAAAAGGAGTATTGATATTTTTGGAAAAAGGCAGAAAACAAACCATTCTTGGCCCCAGCCTGTTCTCTTTGTGAACTGCTTCCTCCTGGCTGTCTACTAGCATCTCAAATAGCATCTGAAACAGGACTCTTGACTCCCTGACCTCCCGCCCCACCTGGTTCCTCCCCAGATCATTCCACCTGAGCAGCTGATATCCAAGCCCTCTGAGCCATCCTAGACTCTTCTCTTTCTCACTCGCAAGTGGAGTTGAGTCTGTCGGCAAATCCTGCCAGTTCTCCTTTATCATATGTTGTAAATTTGCTCACTTCTCACCCCTTGTCTGCAACCACCAAGTCCTGCGCCTCATCAGTGATTCCCCAACTGCCACAAGGGCCTCCCAACTGCTCTTCTGCGCCCATTCTTAACCATCACAGTCATTTCTCCTCACATCAGCCGAAAAGCCCTTAACAGGTTACTCAGATTATGGTGTACCCCAGCTCAGAATCTGCCAGTGGCTTCCATGACCCTTAGAAAAAAGATCCCAGCTCCTCACCATGGCCATGGCTCCTGCTCCCTCTGCACCACCCCACCCCATGTGAGCCACCTCATTTCTGCCCCTCAATCAAGTATATATTGACGGCTGGATCTGTTGCACCTGCTGTCTTCTCAGGCAGGAGCATCTCCTGATAGACCGTGCAATGGCTCCCTCCCCAACAGCGTTCAGGATCCCTGAGCTCTCACCTCCTCACAGCCTTGGAAGCCCAGTCCTCTTCCCCTTAGCTTTCTCCATACCCTTGGATGAATCTTATTAGTATTCATCCAACTGTAATGCAAACTCCATGAGGGCTGGAATTTGTCTTCTTCTCTGCGGAATCTCCAGCACTTAAAATAGTATTTATACATAGCAGTCACTCAATACATATTTGCTGAATCAATTATTAACATTTGGCTCACGCCTGTAATCCAAGCACTTAAGGAGGCTGAGGTGGGAGGATTACCTGAGGTCAAGAGTTCCAGACCAGCCTGGCCAACATGGTGAAACTCCGTCTTTACTAAAAATACAAAAATCAGCTGGACATGGTGGTGGGCACCTGTAATCTCAGCTACTTGGGAGGCTGAGACAGGAGAATCACTTGAACCCGAGAGGCAGAGGTTGCAGTGAGCTGAGATCATGCCACTGCACTCCAGCCTGGGCAACAGATTGAGGCTCAGTCTCTCAGATCATGCAGCTGCACTCCAGCCTGGGCAATAGATTGAGACTCAGTCTCTCTCGCTCTCTCGCTCTCGCACACACATATATGCACACACATATATATGCTTTATATATACAATCTGAGTATACATATACTTTATATATTACAATCTCAGTGTGTATATATATAGATACACATATACATAACACTATCAAACTTTGCATCTCAGTATTTAAAAATTTACTATTATACCTGAAACCCTGAAAACTTTTTTTTGAGACAAAGTTACAATCTTGGCTCACCACAACCTGCACTTCCTGGGTTCAAGCAATTCTCCTGCCTCAACCTCCGAGTAGCTGGGATTACAGGCATTTGCCACAACACCTAGCTAATTTTGTGTTTTTAGTAGAGACAGGGTTTCTCCATGTTGACCAGGCTGATCTCAAACTCTCGACATCAGGTGATCCGCCCACCTCAGCCTCCCAAAGTGCTGGGTTTACAGGCATGAGCCACCACACCTGGTGGCTGAAGCCTTTTTTTTTTTTTTTTTTGAGACAGAGTTTCGCTCTTGTTACCCAGGCTGGAGTGCAATGGCGCGATCTCGGCTCATCGCAACCTCCGCCTCCTGGGTTCGGGCAATTCGCCTGCCTCAGCCTCCTGTGTAGCTGGGATTACAGGCATGCACCACCATGCCCAGCTAATTTTTTGTATTTTTAGTAGAGACGGGGTTTCACCATGTTGACCAGGATGGTCTCTATCTCTTGACCTCGTGATCCGCCTGCCTCGGCCTCCCAAAGTGCTGGGATTACAGGCGTGAGCCACCGCGCCCGGCCTGAAGCCTTTTTTAAGTTATCCACTCTTCATAAACATTTTAATAGTGGCATACCATTCCTTTGGGTAAAGAGATCAATATCTTCTCCTTGAACATCTAAGTTATTCTCATCTTTTGCTATGTATAGTAAATTGCCGTGGACATCTTTGTGCCTTGACCTTTTTTCTTTATTTTGAGAATTTTCTTAGGATGCATCCTAAAACTAGAATTACTGGATCAAAGGACATGACAGCTTTGATGCCTTTCTGTTCCTTAATACATACTGTAAAAATGACAATATCCTTTATTTTTTTCCTCTTTCTTTCATCCTCAGTCTTGTGCTGCCGGCAGAAGTCCTGAGATGACCTCAAACCTCTTCAACATTTATGGGAGGAGCCCTCTGATTGTGTACTTTCTCCGTAACTACGCCAGTCTGCAGCAGCACGGCAAGGATGTATTGATAGTCAGAAGGGAAAAGACCACAGGCACCCCATATCCTTGTCACTGTGGGCAGGGTACGCACTGCTCCAGGCCCCCGCTTCCTCTTCCCAGAAGCAGAGGTCAGAGAATGGCACCAAGGCTTTAGCCCAGTGCCTGGCACCCTGTGGGTACTCATCAGAGGTGGCCAGTGATATGAGCCTCAGGGTCAGAATAATGCTCATCTGAACTCCAAATCTAGAGCCAGCCTCGTGGCTTTGAGACCCCAGGGTGTGTCAGATTTCCTTATGTGCAATATCTCTTTTACACTTAACAGAATGTGCTAACTTGGTGTTGTAACATATATTGAAACTAAATAATGCTTCCAAGACACTTATTGGCCCCAGTGTATGTACTGACCAAGAATTTTGTTGTCCACCTGTGTGTTTCATCTATCACCCTTCTCAGACATGCTCCTCCCTTAGACCTGTCAGCAAATTCCTGGCCCTATTGCCATTTATCCTAAAGATCTAATAGAAAGCTCAGATCTCGGGCGGGGCGCAGTGGCTCACGCCTGTAATCCCAGCACTTTTGAGAGGCTGAGGTGGGTGGATCATGAGGTCAAGAGTTCGAGGCCAGCCTGACCAACGTGGTGAAACCCTCTCTCTACCAAAAATACAAAAATTAGCTGGGTGTGGTGTCACACATGTGTAATCCCAGCTACTCAGGAGGCTGAGGCAGGAGAATCACTTGAACCTGGGAGGCAGAGGTTGCAGTTAGCTGAGATCGCACCATTGCTCTCCAGCCTGGGTGGCAGAGTGAGACTCACTCCAAAAAAAGGAAGGAAGGAAGGAAGGAAGGAAGGAGGGAGGGAGGGAAGAAGGAAGGAAGGAAGGAGGGAGGGAGGGAGGGAAAAAGGAAGGAAGGAAGGAGGGAGGGAGGGAAGAAGGAATGAAGGAAGGAGGGAGGGAGGGAGGGAAGAAGGAAGGAAGGAGGAAGGGAGGGAAGAAGGAAGGAAGGAAGGAGGAAGGGAGGGAAGAAGGAAGGAAGGAGGGAGGGAGGGAGGGAAGAAGGAAGGAAGGAAGGAGGAAGGGAGGGAAGAAGGAAGGAAGGAAGGAAGGACACATTCAGATCTCAAGAAAACAGGTGTGGCATGTGTTGGCATCCTGAGTCTTAGCAGTTTATCATAGGAGTCAGAGAACATGAGTTCTATTTGGAATCAAATCGGTCTATTGGCTCAAATAGACCAAGACTCAGGAACCAGTGATTTGAGATAAGCTCCAGCTTCTCTCTGTGCCTCATTTTTTTCACCTGTAAAATGGGGATAAGAGTACCTGCCTCATAGGTCTGTTTTGCAGATTACAGACACAACAGAGGAAAAGGCTTAGCACAGTGCCTGGCAGATAACAAGGGCTGGGATGACCAACGTCTACATGGAGCTCCCCAACAGGAGGAGTTTCATAATGAAGTAGGACGGACTTTGCATCTACTGCTTCATGGAACTCCATGTCCACACACTTATTTACACATTCTATAGGGAGAGAGTAATAACTCACATTTCATAGTGTTTGATTTCTTGCAACAGTTTTCCCAGACATCACTTCATTGTTCTGTAAAGAAAGTTTCGTGTGGTGGAAGGAACCTGGGTTTGGATACGCAGCCCGTGTGAGCACTGCTCAGTACCAAGCTTGGATTTTCTAATCTTTTCAGGCAGATTCGTGGGAAGAAAAACACCAGCCGAGATATATAGAGAAAAGAAAGAGAGTTTATTTACAAGGAAAGAAAAGGAGTTTATTTACAAGGATACCTAGAGACGCTCACAAACTTCACACCGGCAATAAAGCAGCACGGGTTTTCTCAAGTCCAGACCAAATCACCATCGAAGCTCAGTTCGGCTTCTGCTAAACAATCTTTTATACTTTTTAAAACAAAGAAGGGTCAAGTCAGGACACTGTCCACGTATTCATCATGTAACTAACATCCTTGAGGTGTTTACCAAAAATTGGATCAGGGAACTGGCCAGGTTCCCAGGTCCGGCTCTTCAGAGCCTTTTTTTTGCATTGGGAAAATTCTGAGCTCGGAATACTCCCAATGATAAGGAAATGAAGACAACATCAAGTCTGTCCATGACTTGTAAACTTAATTAACTCCTTCTGTTCCATTACACAGCCCTAGATTTGAGTCCCAGTTTAGCAGCCACTGGCTTTGAGATCTTATGTGCACAGCTCAGTATCTTTATCTACTCATTTAAGATTTGGATAGTTATACCAAACTTACAAGGTGATGAGGATTAAATCACATGCAGCTGGTACTACCTAAGTAACTACCATTATTAACATCTTCTAAAATGGGCATTATCACCTCTATTTTATGGATCTGGAAATGGAGGCATAGAGGATGACTCATATCTTGTCTGAGGCCTCACAGCTTGTGGCGAGTGTAGCTGAGATTCTAACCAATCAAGGTGAGTGGAAGGAGGGCAGAGCAAAGGGAGATTTTTTTGAGACGGAGTCTTGCTCTGTCGCCAGGCTGGAGTACAGTGGCGCGATCTCTGCTCACTGCAACCTCCTCCCAGGTTCAAGGGATTCTCCTGCCTCAGCCTCTTAAGTAGCTGGGATTACAGATGAGCACCACCACGCCCAGCTAATTTTTGTATTTTTAGTAGGGATGGGGTTTCCCCATTCTGGCCAGGATGGTCTCAATCTCCTGACCTCATTATCCGTCTGCCTTGGCCTCCCAAAATGCTGGGATTACAGGTGTGAACGACTGCACCCAGCCCTAGGGAGAATGTTTTTATATACAAATAAGATGGAGAATGAGGCCTTGACTAAAAGAAAAGGAAAGCTAGAAGCCCTTCCTATTCACCACCGTGATAAGAGTAAGAATTTCAGATGATAGTCTCAAAAAGTATTTATTAGTTCTGCCTTCCATCTGCAGGGGCAGAGAAGGGCTTTATTCCTAGGTAGAGAACGCCTGGCCACATAGGATAGCCTCTTCCCTCCAAAGCAGGCCATGGTCAAAGAGCAGGAGAGTCATTGCCTGCTCAGATTTCAGGTATCTTATCCAGAAAGGCAGAGCATTTTCCCTTCTCTGTCGTCCATGCCCCTCCTCCCCATGCACTGTGCTCACGCCGCAAATGATGCAGAGTCAACACAGTTCAACAGTACCAGGATTTCCTTGACAACGGAAGCCACGGAGTCTACCCTGATGTATGCTGACATCATCAAAGAGACCCTGTGCAGCATGAAGAAGCGGAAAGACGACCTCAATCAGTTGTACCAGCTTCACCGCAGTGAATGGAATTATTTTGACAAGTACCTAAAGGAACTGCAGGACAACTTCTCCAGGTATGGCTTTGGGAAACGCCACTCATCTTTAGCAGCACATTGTCATCGTGATTTTTAAATGGGTTGGTGGGGGTGGGGGGGTCCCTGTAACTATTGTAAGCACAGTCAGCTTTCTTACAGTCAAAATATAAACTCCTAATAACAGAGACCAGAGCTTTTTTTCTTTTTTCTTTTTTCTTTCTTTCTTTCTTTTTTTTTTTTTTTTTTTGAGACAGAGTCTTGCTTTGGTCACCCAGGCTGGAGTACAGTGGTGTGATCTTGGCTCATTGCAGCCTCTGCCTCCTGGGCTCAAGCAGTCCTCCCGCATCAGCCTCCCAAGTAGCTGGGACTATAGGTGTGCACCACCATGCCTGGCTAATTTTTGTGTTTTTAGTGGAGACAGGGTTTCACCCTGTTGACCAGGCTGATCTCAAACTCCTGACCTCAGGTGATCTGCCCGCCTCAGCCTCCCAAAATGTTGGGATAGGTGTGAGCCACCACACCCAGCCAGAAATTATATTTAATCTCTTTGGTGACTTTGAATCTATAACAGTATCCTGCCCTCACCTGTTTTTATTAATTGTTTTTTATGACATGGGTTTTTTGAAAAGCTCAAGCCACGTTCTGGGTTTTTCTGATATTTCCTGAAAGAATCATTGGATTTGTTCCAATATAGCCTATGTTTCTTGTACACTGGACATTGGGTCTATGCTAGAGGTTTGATTGGATTCGAGTTAAATCCTTTTGCTCAGAGTCTTTCACAGATGATGTGTATTCACGTCGCATCCCATTAGGAAGCATTATCATGTCAGGTTGCCCACTACTGGTGATGCTAAGGGTAGACACTTGGTTAAGCTGGTATCTGTCAGATCTCTGCATTGTAAGAGCACGTGTTTGTCTTTCTGATTAGTCAGTAATAAAGGATGTGTTTCTCCCAGACTGTGTGAATGTGCTTTCCCAACATCTTCCATATGGTGGTTTTAGCACTCATCAGTGGTCTTTGCCTGATCAACTATTACATTTGGGGTTGTAAAATGGTAATTTTTCTACTTCTACCACTCCTTCTACATTTATTGGCTGGCATTTTTCCTTAAAGAATAGCTCACTTTCTTTTATCCTTCTTTGTCTCTCTCATGTCTTTCCTGCATGCCCCTGTAACTCTTTCATGTATCCACCCTGTCTGCAAGAGAAGCTTGGGAAGTATCTGGCCAAGGAGGGTGAGATTTCCATGACTGGACTGGACCTTCCATAGAACTGGGCACTTCGTTATTCAAAACAAAATGGGATTCAGTTTGCAAATGAGAAACAGGGAATTGCTGTTGGCTAGACAGCTATTCATGCCTCCCATATTAAGAGGAACAGAAAAATATGAACATGTAGATAAATACTTTGTTATGCAATGTGATACAATTGAGTTTTTATTTTTTCTTTTTTCTGTTGTTGTTTTTGAGACAGAGTCTCACTCTGTCACCCAGGCTAGAGTGCAGTGGCGCGATGTTGGCTTACTGCAACCTCCACCTCCCGGGTTCAAGCAATTTTCTTGCCTCAGCCTCCTGAGTAGCTGGGACTACAGGCACCTGCCACCACACCCAGCTCATTTTTTGTTTCTTTAGTAGAGACAGGATTTCACCGTGTTGGCCAGGATGGTCTCAATCTCCTGACCTCGTGATCTGCCTGCCTCGGCCTCCCAAAGTGCTGGGATTTCAGGCATGAGCCACCGCACCTGGCCTCCAATTGAGTTATTTATAAAATATTATGGGACAAAGACCACACACATTCACAAAACCCCATTAGGCATCACCACCACCACCATCACAGGAATGCAGTTAAGCCTTAATGTTCATCAAAAGATGACTGGTGAAATAAACTATCATAAGTCCATACTCTACAGCCAAGAAAAAATGTCCCTCTGTTTTTATTTTACAAGGAAAGATGGTCACAACATATTATTGGACCAAAATTTAGGTTATAAGACAGTGTGTATAAAGCGGTACGATTATTTACTTATCCCCATTTTACAGATGTGGAAGTTGAGGTTGAGGACAGAACCTTGGAGGGCAACCACATACATCAGGGAGGACAGAAGATTCTACGGGGGAGGAATGAGAAGAATTGGGGGAGGAATGACCAGCCTTTTTCCATATGTCTCTTCCCCCCAGGGAAATGAAGAATATTGATCAAAAAGCAGCAGATAAAAAAAAGGCAAACCACGTGTTCATCCCACCTTCTGCCTTCAGTGAGGAATCACCTGACAAGAAAACTAAGGGAAGTTTCCAAAGAGATATCGAGTTTAAGGTTTGTTTGAACAAAAACCATGGGAAGTGTAGAAATGTGAACAGTGTAAGAATAAGAATTGGTTTCTTTTGAGACAGAGTCTCACTCTGTGGCGTCAAGGCTGAGTGCCGTGGTGCCATCATAGCTCACTGCAGCCTCCACCTCCCGGGCTCAAGTGATCCTCCCACTTCAGCCTCCTGAGTAGCTGGGACCACAGGCGTGTGTCACCATGCCCAGCTCATTTTTATCTTTGGTAGAGTTGGGGGGTTCACTATGTTGCCCAGTCTATAAAATTCTTAAAACATAGAAAAGAGCATATAAAAGTTCACTTATGGCCAGGCGCAGTGGGTCACGCCTGTAATCCCAGCACTTTGGGAGGCCAAGGTGGGCAGATCATGAAGTCAGGAGTTTAAGACCAGCCTGGTCAACGTAGTGAAATCCCGTCTCTACTAAAAATACAAAAATTAGCTGGGCATGGCAGCATGTGCCTATAATCCCAGCTACTCAGGAGGCTGAGGCAGGAGAATCACTTGAACCTGGGATGCGGAGGTTTCAGTGAGCCGAAATCACGCCACTGCACTCCAGCCTGGAGACAGAGCTAGACTCCTCTCAAAAAAAAAAAGTTCACTTCCTGGCCAGGCGCGGTGGCTCACACCTATAATCCCAGCACTTTGGGAGGCCGAGGCAGGTGGATCACAAGGTCAAGAGATCAAGACCATCCTGGTCAACAAGGTGAAACCCCGTCTCTACTAAAAATACAAAAAAATTAGCTGGGCATGATGGTGTGCGCCTGTAGTCCCAGCTCCTCGGGAGGCTGAGGCAGGAGAATTGCTTGAATCCAGAAGGCGGAGGTTGCGGTGAGCCGAGATGGTGCCATTGCATTCCAGTCTGGGTAACAACAGCGAAAGTCCATCTCAAAAAAAAAAAAGTTCACTTCCTTTTATGTGTTACCCACACCGCTCTGATTAGTTTTAGTATTATTACTGGTAGTAGTAAGGGCTATTAATTTTTATACTTCCTCTGTACCAGGCATTGGCCTATGTACTTTACGAACTGTATGAGACAGAGCTCCTTGGTGGCACATGCCAGAAAGCCAGCTCAAACTAGCTTAAGTGGAAGGAGAATGTAGGAGCTTAAATAATTGGGAAGGCCATGACAGGCCATCTACAGGCATATTTGACCTAAGGCCTCAGCATTTTCGGGCTCTTTCTCTGTCTGTCTCTTGACCCTCTTCCCTTCTTCTTCTTTTTTTTTTTTGAAATGGAGTTTCGCTCTTGTTACCCAGGAGGGAGTGCAATGGCGCGATCTCGGCTCACCCCAACCTCCGCCTCCTGGGTCCAAGCAATTCTCCTGCCTCAGCCTCCTGAGTAGCTGGGATTACAGGCATGCACCACCATGCCCAGCTAATTTTTTGTATTTTTAGTACAGACGGGGTTTCACCATGTTGACCAGGATGATCTCCATCTCTTGACCTCGTGATTCACCCGCCTCGGCCTCCCAAACTGCTGGGATTACAGATTTGAGCCACCGCGCCCGGCCACATTGATTAACAAAAAAAAAAAAAAAATTTTTGCCAGGCTCGGTGGCTCACGCCTATAATGCTAGCACTTTGGGAGCCCGAGGCGGATGGATTACGAGGTCAAGAGATCAAGACCATCCTGGTCAACGAGGTGAAACGCCGTCTCTACTAAAAATACAAAAATTAGCTGGGCACGGTGGTGCGCACCTGTAATCCCAGCTACTCGGGAGGCTGAGGCAGGAGAATTGCTTGAACCCAGAAGGCAGAAGGTGCAGTGAGCCGAGATCGTGCCATTGCACTCCAGCCTGGGTGACAACAGCAAAACTCCGTCTCAAAAAAAACAAAAAAAAAGAAAATTAATTGGCCATAGATGTATGGGTTTATTTCTAGACTCTTAATTCAATTTCATTGGTCTATGTGTCAACCCTTATGCCAGTACCACAGTGTTTTGATTATGGAAGCTTTGTAATATGGTTTCAAAATCAGGATGTGTGAGTTATCCAACTTTATTCTTCTTTTTCAAGATTATTTTAGCTATATGTGGCTTCTTCCAATTTTATATGAATTTAAGGGCAGGCTTTTCCAGTGCTACCAAAAAAACAACTGGAATGTTGATAGGGACAACACTAAATCTATGTTTGGCTAGTAATGCCATTATAACAATATTAAGTCTTCCAATTCATTTTGTTAATCAGCAATATTATCTTCCAATTCAATTAAACACAAGCTATCATTGCATTTATTTTGCCTTAAAATTTATTTCAGCAATGTTTTATAGTTTTATGAAATTTTAAATAACTTTTACAATGTTGTATAAGTTTTTCATCTCCTTGGAGAAATTATTTATAGGTTTTTTTTTTCTTATGGATGCTATTCTAAATGGAATTGTTTTCTTTTTCTTTGCCCGGCTAATTTTTGTATTTTTACTAGAGACAAAGTTTCTCCATGTTGGTCAGGTGGATCTCGAACTCCCAACCTCAGGTGATCTGCCTGCCTCGATCCCCCAAAGTGCTGGGATTACAGGCGTTAGCCACTGCACCTGGCCACATTTTGTTTCTTTCAACTGACTTTCTATGTTTTCTATTCTCTGTTTCATGTCCTCTGCAATAATCTTTATTATCTTCTTCCTTCTACCAGCTTTGGATTTAGTTTGTGCTGCTTTTGCTAGGCTGACAAGTCATAAAGTGAAGTTACTGATTTGAGACATTTCTTCTTTTTAAAACATAGGCATTTCTAGCTATAAATTTCCCTCTGAGCACTGCTTTTGCTGCACTCCTTAAGTTTTATTGTGTTATGTCTTTGTTTTTATTTCAATTTTTTTTTTTTTTTGAGATGAAGTCTTGCTCTGTCACCAGGCTGTAGTGGAATGGCACAATCTCAGCTCACTGCAGCCTCCACCTCCCAGGTTCAAGCCATTCTTCTGCCTCAGCCTCTTGAGTAGTTGGGACTACAGGCACATGCTACCACACCCAGCTAATTTCTTTTCTATTTTAGTAGAGATGGGGTTTCACCATGTTGCCCAGGCTGGTCTCCAACTCCTGAGCTCGGACAATTCACCCTCCTCGGCCTCCCAAAGTGCTAGGATTACAGACGTGAGCCACTGTGCCTGGCTATTTCAAAGTATTTTTAAATATATCTTATTATTTCTCCTTCAGAAGTTGTAGCATGTTCTTTGCAAATAAGGACAGTGAACCTAAATAGAAGAAGTGTAATGCTTTCATGAAATATTAAAGGAAGTCGTTTAGGCTTGTGAGACTAGTCTCCATCTCATAGCCCAGCAATAATACTCTGAAGATTCACATCTGGAAGTGTGAGGCAGACGGGGAACACAGAGTTAGAAAACACAACCCAGGCTTTCAGCTTCACCAGAGGAATGTCACCTCCAATGGGGCCGTACCTGCCTGCTGCCTAGAGGTTTTCAGGGCCCAGTTCAGATCCCACACAGCAGTGTTCCTATCAGTACTGGTGAAAGGTGAAGGATGGAGGCACTGGTGATGTGGAAGCTGTGGATGCCAGCAGTCCTGCCCAACCTCTTTCTCTGGAGGCAGGAGCATGCCCTCAATATTCCTTGTATACAGGGATCACCACTGACCATGCCACTGCTCACATGTAGAGTCTTTGAAGAAATTAGATTTTTTAATTGATTTTTTGCTTGTTTCCCCCACAGGAGGGGAAAGGAGGAGAGGGAAAGAGAAGAGAAACAAAAGTTGAACATTTCTCTCTACTCACTTCCAAGCCCCAAGGAACGCCACAACCTGGAACTAGGTTTCAGAACTACAGAATCCGGTTCCTAGAACCACAGAATCCATGATCTTTCTACTACCAAATGAAGCAGAACAACAAGAAAAAAAGAAAATTGTGGCCAAAGACTGAGAAATAGGAATCACAATTAAACAATAAGGGAATGATTTTGTTGTAGTTTTTCATAGGCTGAGTGAAAAGGAGGAGCAGAGAGCTGGTGCTTGGGTCACTACATTTATTCACACATTTACTCTTTCACTCAGTATTTTATTAAGTGCATGTTTGTGAGTACGTTACAAATATGACCTCATATAAAGGTTAAACCTTCATACCAGACATATGAAGTAGGGATGATCCACTGCATTCTACATAGTAGCAAGCCCAGGTTTGGAAATGTTTCCAAAGTTCTCTGCTGTAGACACTGGGTAATTAACAGTAGATAAGACACAGGCCCTGTTCTTAAGGGAGTCACCATAGAGGGAAGACAGATGTATCAACAAATTAAATGCTCTAAGTATTGGATAGAGGAAAACCAAGAAGGCAGAGGCCTGGGAGCCACACAGAAACACTTTGCAGATGTCATGTCCCTGGGCTGAGTTTAGAAAAGACAAGATGTTTACCAGAGAGGCAGAGATCACTAAGATAAAAGTTTAACTAAGTTAAAATTAAATTAATCTTTTTAGAGGCAGAATCTCACTATATTGTCCAGGCTGGAATGCAGTGGCACAATCATAGCTCACTACAAATTCCTGGGCTTCCCAAATAGATAGGAATATAGCCATACCACCGTGTCTGGCTAATTTTTTAAGAAATTTTTTGTAGAGATAGGATCTCACTGTGTTGCCCAGGCTGGTCTCGAACTTCTGGCTTCAAGTGATCCTCCTGGCTTGTCCTTCCAAAGCACTAGGATTATAATTGTGAGCCACTGCACCTGGCCTGGAATATAAAATATTGTGTAACATAGTAATAGTAATATAGGCGATGTCATTTATTGAGTACTTACTATGTGCTAAGTGTTCTGCTAAGCCTGGTTTAGACGTTATCCCAGTTAACCTTCCTGATGGCCCCCAAGATGGATATTGTGACCTCCATTTTCTCCTAGGAAGAAACTGGGGCTTGATGAGGATGATTAGGTATTTGCTAGATGTCTGCTCTGTACCACCCCTGCACTAGGCCCTGTGGATACAGAGATAAATAAAGACACAGCCCCGGACCTTACGGGACTCACAGTCTGAAAGAGAGAAGGATGTGTAAATCAAGAAAGGCATTGATAGAGATCTGCATGGAATCTGAGAAAAACCGAGGCAGGTGAAGCCAGTATGCCAGCAGCCCTTTGGCACAGAAGATATTTCACTGAAGGGCACAGGCACAAGGGCTGGGCTGAGGGGCTTAGGCTTTATCATTTGAGCTTCAAGATAGAAGGAAGTGACCTGGTCTGTGCTAGAACAGTCCACCTGTCACAGCCAAGAGGAAAGAAATGGTGCAGATGGTCCGGGCACGGTGGCTCACACCTGTAATCCCAGCACTTTGGGAGGCTGAGGCAGGTGGATCAGAAGGTCAGGACCAATCTGACCAACATGGTGAAACTCCGTCTCTACTAAAATTACAAAAAAATTAGTCGGATATGGTGGCGTGCACCTGTAATCCCAGCTACTTGGGAGGCTGAGGCAGGAGAATCACTTGAACCTGGGAGGTGGAGGTTGCAGTGAGCTGAGATCGAGCCACTGCACTCCATCCCGGGTGACAAAGTGAGACTTCGTCTCAAATAAATAAATTAGTTGGCCGGGCGCGGTGGCTCATGCCTATAATCTCAGCACTTTGGGAGGCCGAGGCAGGTGGGTCATGAGGTCAAGAGATCAAGACCATCCTAGTCAACAAGGTGAAACCCCGTCTCTACTAAAAATACAAAAATTAGCTGGGCATGGTGGTACATGCCTGTAGTCCCAGCTACTCGGGAGGCTGAGGCAGGAGAATTGCTTGAACCCAGGAGGCAGAGGTTGCACTGAGCTGAGATGGCACCATTGCACTCCAACCTGAGTAATGAGTGAAATTCCATCTAAAATAAATAAATTAGTTAATTAATTAAAATAAAATAAAACAAGAAACGGTGTAGATTGCTGTTTGCCCAAAGCAAGCAGCGGATAAGCAGATTTTGGGACATATGGGTCATCCCTCAGTCTTATGTCTTTACTGGCATCCTGAGTGGAACCCTAGGTGACCCCCTTGAAGACTGTTAACTTTGTAAAAGGGGATGAAGGAGAGGTAAGAGGGAAAGAACTCAGGCTTTGGCATGAGAAAATGTGGGCCTTTGAATTACTGCCCTGCTTCACCGTGGATGTATGACTCAGCACAGTAGCTGTGCAATTTGACCTTTCTGAACTTGCTTTCTCACCTGCAGAAAGGGAATGCCTACCTAGGAGGGTTGTTGTGAGGATCAGATGAGATAATTTATGCAAAGTTCTTGGCACAGTACTTCTCACTTTGTAATTGCCACAAGCTCTTGTTGTTATCATTGCTAGAAAGTGTACTCTTCTTGGCCCAGTGCAGTGGCTCACACCTGTGTAATCCCAGCACTTTGGGAGGCCAAGGCGGGTGGGTCACCTGAGGTCATGAGTTCGAGAGCAGCCTAGCCAAAATGGGGAAACCCCGTCTCTACAAAAAATACAAAAAATTTAGTCAGGCGTGGTGGCCAGTGCCTGTAATCCCAACTACTCAGGAAGCTGAGGCAGGAAAATCGCTTGAACCTGTGAGGTGGAGGTCATAGTGAGCTGACGTCACACCATTGCACTCCAGCCTAGGCAACAAGAGTGAAACTCCGTCTCAGAAAACAAAAAAGTATACTCTTCTGAAACCAGAACACATTGAGCACCTGCCAGGTACAAGGCACCGTGTGGGGCAGATAAGCAGAGCATTCCCTCACCTTCCCTTTACTACCCCAGCCACCATCAACTCTTCATCTGCAGTTCCTCTAGGAACCACACTTCCCTATTTCTGGACCTTTTGTCTTTTGCTGCTTCTGGACTTGAAAATGCCTTCTCGGCCGGGCGCGGTGGCTCACGCCTATAATCCCAGCACTTTTGGGAGGCCGAGGCGGGTGGATCACAAGGTCAAGAGATCAAGACCATCCTGGTCAACAAGGTGAAACCCCCGTCTCTACTAAAAATACAAAAATTAGCTGGGCATGGTGGTACGTGCCTGTAGTTCCAGCTACTGGGGAGGCTGAGGCAGGAGAATTGCTTGAACCCAGAAGGCGGAGGTTGCGGTGAGCTGAGATCATGCCATTGCACTCCAGCCTGGGTAACAACAGCGAAACTCCATCTCAAAAAAAAGAAAATGCCTTCTCCTTGCTCCTCTTTATTTATTTATTTATTTTTGAGATGGAGTTTCGCTCTTGTTACCCAGGCTGGAGTGCAATGGCGCGATCTCGGCTCACCGCAACCTCCGCCTCCTGGGTTCAGGCAATTCTCCTGCCTCAGCCTCCTGAGTAGCTGGGATTACAGGCACGTGCCACCGTGCCCAGCTAATTTTTTGTATTTTTAGTACAGACGGGGTTTCACCATGTTGACCAGGATGGTCTCGATCTCTTGACCTTGTGATCCACCTGCCTCGGCCTCCCAAAGTGCTGGGATTACAGGCTTGAGCCACTGCGCCAGGCCACTCCTCTTTATTAACTGCCAACATTACTACTAATTCCTGCTCTTCCTCCAGGACCCCACTTAGACGTCCCCTCCTCTTGGGAGCCTTCCCTAATCTGCCAGGAGCCAGGTAGGCACAAGTGCTCCACTGCATTCTGCTCCGACAGCATTCGGTGCCACCCTGTTATGGCAGCCGTTACCATAGCAGGTTGTAATTGCCTGTTTACCTCTCCATCTCTACCATTAGCCCCCATGCAGCAAGAAGGGCTCCTTGTTTTCTAAGCTCAGTACAAACTGCATTCCTGTCTCTCAGGACCATTCCTTGCACAGTCCAAGATCATCCCTGCATGGACCCTTTCCAGAAAATACTGAGGACTCTGAATGGTAGGCCTCTCAGTATGTTCAAGATGAAAAATCCTGTCTCTGCTCTTTGCAAATATTAGAAAGAAAAGTTATGAAGAAGAATTATTTGCCCTTTATAAGGGAAGGGGGGTAGAGCATCAAAGAGAACTAACATTTAAAAAGTATTTGCTGTAATGTGGGATAAAGCAAATGAGTAATTGTGTGATATTCTAATTCCGTCATTCCTAGTGTTGCTGAAAACCCATATTCTCAGCATGGAAGGAGAAAAATTCCGATGTTAAACTAGAAAAGATGAAGTTAAAATGCTATAGTGCTGATTTTGAATTGCTTATGACTTGATGAATTGCCTGTTTTAGAACACACAGTTGCCTAAAGAACAGGAGGGATAGCTAGAGGGGCTAGGAGGGAAGTTGGAAGGGGTTACAAAGAGGCTCAAAAAAACTTTGGGGGTGACAGATATGTCCACTATCTTGATTGTGGTGAAGAGCTCATGGGTGTATACATACCTAAACACACTTTAAATATGTGCAGTTTCTCATATGTCAATTATACCTCGATAAAGCTTTGTTAAAAACGAACAGGCCAGGCATGGTGGCTCACACCTGTAATCCTAGCACTTTGGGAGGCCAAGGCAAGAGGATTGCTTGAGGCCAGGGGTTTGAGACCAAACGGGGCAAAATAGTGAGACCCTGCCTCTTTGTATAAAATCTGTCTTTCCAGCCAGGTGCTGTGGCTCATGCCTGTAATTTCAGCACTTCGGGAGGTCGAGGCAGGTGGATGATAAGGTAAGGGATAGAGAACATCCTGGCCGACATGGTGAAACGCTGTCTCTACTAAAAATACAAAAAGTAGCTGGGCATGGTGGTGTGTGCTTGTAAACCAGCTACTCGGGAGGTTTAAGCAGGAGAATCATTCCAACTACGGAGTTGGAGGTTGCAGTAAGCCAAGATTGTGCCACTACACACTCCAGCCTGGCAACAGAGTGAGACTCCATCTCAAAAAAAGAAAAAAAGAAAAAGAAAAGAGAAGAAACAGATATACAAAAACATATACAACTTTTGCCTTTTATTTTTGTTAATCAATACTTTGAATAAAGATGGGAACTTTGGTTTTTTTTATTTTTTGGTTTGTAATCCTACAGTTTTTTTTGTTTTTTTTGTTTTTTTGAGACGGAGTTTCGCTCTTGTTACCCAGGCTGGAGTGCAACGGTGGGATCTCAGCTCACTGCAACCTTCGCCTCCTGGGTTCAAGCAATTCTCCTGCCTCAGCCTCCCGAGTAGCTGGGACTACAGGCGTGCACCACCATGCCCAGCTAATTTTTGTATTTTTAGTAGAGCCGGGGTTTCACCTTGTTGACCAGGATGGTCTCTATCTCTTGACCTCATGATCCACCTGCCTCGGCCTCCCAAAGTGCTGGGATTATAGGCGTGAGTCACCGCGCCCGGCCCCAGATTTTTTTTTTTCTACTTTTCTGTTTTTTTTTTTTTTTTTTTTTTTTTTTCTGTAAATCTACGGTAAACCCCTTTAGATTAACACAAATCCTCACACTGCAAAATTAGTATCTTTCAGAATATTCCCTCTGCTGAGGCAAGAAACACAATATTTGAAATGTCTATACAAAGTAGAAGTACAAGGAAAAAAAAGCATGACAAGATTGATGGAACTAGAATACTGAGAAAAAAAAGCTTGGAGAATGTAAGAGGTGTTTTACTAGTCAGTCATTCATTCTACAAATAAGTATTGCGCTCCAGCTAAATGCACTCTCTTAAGTTAGTACTTGTTCCCTCTTATTACCTGACTAATGAATTACTCATGGATACCAGCTGAAATGCCATGTTCCTCACTTCCCCACAAACTGAATAAGATGTCTCTCCCATGTGTTCCTACAGCACCCTGTATTCCTTCTTGTAACTGGAGGTGAATAATATAAGGCCCTAGGTTAAAATTTTAATCAACTTTTTACAGACAGCAGTCATTTTAAACCTTTATGTAGCCCGGAGAAGAGCCACTAAGAGGTACAGGTCTCAGCGATAGGCTACAAGTACCTTATTCTTAAACAGGAATTATTTGAAAATGAAGATAAAGACGTGGAACACTGCTGGATGCGGTTGCTTACGCCTGTAATCCCAGCACTCTGGGAGGCTGAGGTGGGAGGCTTGCTTGAGCCCAGAAGTTTGAGAGACCAGGGCAACATGGTGAAATCACATCTCTACAAAAAAAACACCAAGAAATTAGCTGGGTGTGGTGGCTTGTGCCTGTAGGCCCAGCTACTGGGAGGGCTGAGGTGGGAGGATCGCTTGAGCCCCGGAGATTAAGGCTGCCATGAGCCAAGATGTTACCACTGTACTCCAGCCTGAGTGACAGAGGAAGACCCTGACTCAAAAAAAAAGCAAAACAAATATGTTTAAGAGGAAATCTACCCAGTGAAATTTGTACATGATGAGCCTTCATTCTTTAGTTTTCTACTAAAGCATTTATCAAATTCAAGCTCTTGAAACTTCAAGAATATGTATCTGCAAGCATCACTGGGAATAAGCCTGACTATATTCGCTGGAATCCTGTGCCTCTATTTGGTTATAAGGTGACTGTCCACGGAGGGGCAGTAAAGTGTAATGGTTTAAAACTCAAATCTTAACTGTAATCCCACTGCCAATTTTTTTATTTCTTAAAATGTAAAAGTGATACAAAAATTTTATAATTGTATAGAGAAATTGTGGACTTCCTGAAGGATTTGAAAAAGTAGGCAAGCTATATCACTCAGTTAATAATTGACACAAAGGCTCTGGTTTGCCATGTTCTATATTGTGGATAGGAAGTACCATTTTGCCATACAGGATTTTTTTCTTTTTTAATATAAGCATACTTATCAGTCTTTTGTGGCTTCTGAGTTTCGTATCATACTTAAAAAGATGTTCCTTATTGTAAAGTAATTTTAAATGTCCCATATTTTCTTCTAGTACTTTTATTATTTTATTGTTCAGATTTAATTTTTTGATCCGTCTGGAATTTATTTTGGTATAATGTATAAAGCATGATTCCAATTTTATTTTTTCTTCCAGATGGTTACCTAGTTGTTCTAACACTATCTACTGAATTCATCATTTCCCCAGTAATTTGAAATGCTGCCTTCATGATATTCAGAATTTTTGTATGATATGAAAGACTAATTTTTTTTTTGGTCCCGATTTGAGTGGAAAGGTCCTCATGTGCACTTTTTAAAGTGCACTCTGTCCCAGAGTTTGTTGTTTTAAATATTTTAAAAGTTGTCTATGGATATGATACTCAAACAGGACTTTTCTCCTCCCTTCATGAATTTGCCATTACCCGGCTCATTTTAGTTTCTTTAAGTGTACTGCACACAACCTTCAAATATTATGAACATTTCTCTCTCCCAGCTGTCACTACACCAAACTACATATGTTAGATTTCCCTAAATCATCTCGCTGTGCTCTTTGCAGCTCTTCTGTAGACTGTCGGTATCTTCACCTAACAAGTTGTTCAAAAGTTCCCATAATGACTTAGGTGAGGCCTCAGAGTGAAACCACCCAGTTCCTTCCCTAAATGGGCATTCATTTCCGTATAACGAGGATGGCTGTGTTTGGGGCGAAATAACAGTTTTGGAAGCACAATGGCGGTTACTCGTGGCTCCTGAAACAATCCACCTGGTGGGGGAGGGGGGGCGCGTCCCACACAAATGCCAACTGCTATTGTGGGAATGTTTTGCTATTTATTCCAGCAAAACGATTCAAAAAAAAAAAAGGGGGGGGGGGAGTCGCCCTGTACTAGGTCTTGAACCCAAAAAACTGTTTGCACAGAGATTCATCCAAGATACATCACAGCCTCCACCTTAGCAGCTGCTCTCTCAGATGCTTCCTGACTGTCAAGTCCGTCTCCGCGTGAGGGGAGGAGGAGGGCGCTGCCAGCAATGGCGCTGCTGGCACGAAGGCTGGCCCGCAGCTTCTATTTAAAAGCTGAACCGAAATATGCCAGGCGTCTGCAGTCTATTTAAAACTCCAAGTTAAGGCAGAGGAAAATCACTCTCCACCCTGAATGGGCCTCGGGTGTCTCAATCACAGACAGGAGTGGCGAACGGGGAGAGTCACGGAGTGGGCAATGAGGAGCGCTGCGGGAGCAGGGCCAAGCCGACGCCGGCCATGGAAACCAGCCCGGGGCCGGGCGCGGCGGCTCCGCCTGGAATCCCAGCACTCCGGGGGGCCCGGGGGGCCGGATCACCTGAGGTCGGGAATGCGAGACCAGCCTGGCCACGTCTGTACCAAAAATACAAAATGAGCCAGGCAGGGTGGCGGGTGCCTGTCATCCCAGCTACTCGGGAGGCGGAAGCAGGAGAATCGCTGGAACCCGGGAGGCGGAGGTCGCGGCGGGCCAAGTTCGCGCCCTTGCACTCCAGCCTGGGCAACAGAGTGACAAACTCCGTCTCATAAAAAGGACCTCCGATTCGAACTCCTAACCCGAGGCTCCAGCTGCAATCCCTCGCGACCCTGACCTTTCGCACCCGTAGGCCACCTCTGCTCAGCGCCCCTCCCCAGCTTCAAGGCTTCCTCCTCAGAGTCCTCTCCCTAATTTGAGCGAGGTGGTCCCCTCGAGAGACGCCCCAGCTCAACAGTCTCCTCCCTTCAAGGTCCCTCTCCTCGGCGCGCTTCCTGCACAGCGCCCCTCCCCCACTCCCTCACCTCAGCGCGCCTCCCAGAGGAGGCTCCTCCTCGTTTCCCGCCCCTCGGTCCTCGCCTCTAACCCTCACCCTGCGCCGTGCCCGGGCTCCCTCCTCGCTACGCCCCCTCCAGGCCACACCCTCGGGTTCCCCCAGCTACTGGCCCGTTTGCCCCCCACGCCCCTAGGTCCTAGCCCAGCTCCCATTGCTTTCCGCCCCGCCCACTGCGGGGGCCCGCCCGCTCCCCCTCGCCCCGCCTCCTCATCTGCGCCCCGCCCAGCCCCTCCGTCCTCGCCCCGCCTCCTCATCTGCGCCCCGCCCAGCCCCTCCGTCCTCGCCCCGCCTCCTCATCTGCGCCCCGCCCAGCCCCTCCGTCCTCGCCCCGCCCTAGTCGGTTGGCGCCAAACCCTGTGGACAGCGGCTCGCGGATCTCCAGGCTCCGCGTTCTGTGTCCGAGTTAGAATCCTGTCAGCTGAGGACTGTCGGGAAAGGCCGGGCGGGGGCAGAGGGGTTTCACCTTGAAAATCTCGGGGAAACTGGGTACGAGGGGGGTAAGTGGCAAAAACCGACGGCGTGCGAAGACTCTGAGGGGACGCTCGTTTTGCCATGGCGCGCTTCCCTTTCTCGCTCCTTTTTTAGGGCCCTAGTGACTTGGAGCTTTCCGCTCCGACCCCTGGGGAGGAGTTTTGGTGACCTTGAGGGATTTCCAACCTCCTTATTTTAAATCGAATCGGACCTAAGTCCAGGAGGGCCCGCCTCGTCCTCCTGACGAGGGAATCCGGTGTCGGGAAAACGTCCGGCGGCCGCACGGGGGTCTGCCCAGGCCTCCTGCGGAGGGAGACGTCGAGGGCGACCCGACCGCGCTGCTGCCCCCTCCAGAGGTGGCCTTCAGCCAGGGGATGGGGCAGCCCTCCCTTAAATCCAACGGTTCGGTCCATCGAAGGCTCCGTGAGAGACGGGGACAATCTTTTCATTTCATCCCGGGGAGAAGAAATGGATGACGGGGACAGTAAATGCGGAGCTGGGGTGCTCATACTTGTAGCCCTCTGAAGGACAGACCCCGGAAGACCCCGTCCACACGGTCTTGGTTGCCTTCCATCCTTTGCTGTTTGCGGTGCCCGGTGGTCAGACCCTGCTTCTGCCTTAGAATTAATAATAGTCCGTGGCTCGCGCCTGTAATCCCAGCACTTTAGAGGCCGAGGCGGGCAGATCACGAGGTCAGGAGATCGAGAACATCCTGGCCAACATGGTGAAACCCCCTCTCTGCTAAAATACAAAAAATCAGCTGGGCGTGGTGGCTCGCGCCTGTAATCCCAGCACTTTAGAGGCCGAGGCGGGCAGATCATGAGGTCAGGAGATCGAGAACATCCTGGCCAACATGGTGAAACCCCGTCTCTGCTAAAATACAAAACATCAGCTGCGCGTGGTGGCTCGCGCCTGTAGTCCCAGCTAATTGGGAGGCTGAGGCAGGAGAATCGCTGGAACCCAGGAGGCAGAGGTTGCAGTGAGCAGAGATCACGCCACTGCACTCCAGGCTGGGCGACAGAGCTAGACTCCTCAAAAAAAAAAAAAAAATAGTCCGTTCCCTTTGTTCTAGGGTCCAACCCCTAACTTTGGTATCAAATGAGGAAACGGAATAGACCGAGAAAAATGATTATTTGGATGGCATTTTATTGTAATAAGCACAATCACAGTTCGTGGATTCCTGAGATTTCTTTTTGAGTCTACAATCTTAAAGACTTTCACTGCTTTATCAGCTTTAATATTATGTATCCACCATATTTTTAAATCTTAACAAAATCGGCCTGGCACTGTGGCTCACGCCTGTAATCCCAGCACTTTGGGAGGTCAAGGCGGGTGGATAATGACGTCAGGAGTTGGAGACCAGCCTGACCAAACATGGTGAAACCCCATCTCTACTAAAAATACAAAAATATACCGGGCATGGTGGTGCACGCCTGTAATCCCAGCTACTTGGGAGGCTGAGGCAGAAGAATCACTTGTACCCGGGAGGCGGAGGTTGCAGTGGGCCAAGATTGTGCCACTGCACTCCAGCCTGGGTGACAGAGCAGGACTCCTCAAAAAAAAGAAACTAGTAAATACTGTGAAAGAAAGTATAGCTAATGTTCTATGAAACAAAAAGGTAGATGTCACAGGAGTGTCCATTCATAATCATAGCAGGCAGGAAGGCCTTCATCATAAATGAGAAAAATAAAATCCATTTATTGAGGACAAAGTTGGAGGTGCCAGGGAGGACACAAGGAAGAATGATATAATGTCAAGGTTCTTAGAATGTTGTTAAACAAGAAGGGTTAAAAGCAATATGCACTTCTAAATAACATTTCAAGGCAATAATAAAGATATTACATAGTCATGATTAGCTGTGCAATGGAAATCAGCTGATAAATATCACTGTTGGGGAAAGACAAAAAATTTGTCTTTCCCCCAATTTGCCCCTCAGGCACCTGTGTGAGTGTGAGGACACACATACACACACACACACACAAAAGAAATAATGCCACATGCCTTGCAGAAAGAAGATAGGCAGGCCTAGTCTTTCCAAGCTAAATACTTCTCTTCTAGTCCTTGGTGACTTTGAAATGAAATCAGAGGCCTCAGGACAAAGGACTACTCTTTTTTTCCCCCTGCTCCCCTCTCCTCAGAGGACTACTTCTTAAATATATTTCTTATTTTCCCAGAAGCGATTATTTTTCTGTTGCTCACCTTTCAATATGAAGGAGGATCAGGTTGTGGAAGAACCAGGATTCCAAGATGAAGAGGTATGACTAGAGCGTTGAAAGATATGTAGACATTCAGTCATTCCACAAAAATCAAGTTCCTTCTCTGTTAGTTACTATTTTTAGAAATTGAAAGTAGAAATAACACATAGTTATATATTGCAAGTATGTAACAACTTCTTTGGCAAGGATGCTAAGATTAGCTACTTAGCAACTGGTATGAAAGTATTTTAATAACTTAGCAGCTGCTATGGCCATACTGATACCTATACACAGTGATACCGAATAGCAGCCTTGTCCTAGAGGAAGGAGTTTAGGATCTGGAAAGGAAGAAGGTTGAGAGAACATATTTAAAATAGGTCAAATGTTGTTCCAGTCTTTTGGGTAAAATTTTAGGGAGGGCATGACAAAGGTAATTGACTTCCAAGCCCTTTCAATATTGGTGCTTCTTCTAAGTATGTGTTTGAAAAACAGTATTGATCCTTCCTCAATCTGTCTAGAGAAGTGGAATTTGAGGAATTTTGGAGTGACTCATAGTATTGAATCACCTCTTTAAAAGATGTGAAATAGCTGGATATGAAGAATCAAAACTTCATTTTTTCTGTTTCTTCTTCTTTAGGAATCTTTGTTTCAAGATATTGACCTGTTACAAAAACATGGAATTGTAAGTAGTTTTTCAATGCTAAGTTGTCTGATTCAGGATTTCTCAGCATCAACCTTACGGACATTTGGGCCTGGATAAGGCTTTTTTGCAAGGAGCTGTCCTGTGCATTGCAGGGCCTCTACTCACTCACTACATATCAGTAGCACCCCTCCATCTGTGACAACCAAAATGTCTCCAGACATTGTCAAGTGTACCCAGAGGACAAAACTATGTTCTAAATGTCAGGTGACTGGAATAAATGATGTTGGCAGAAACCCAGACTTTGAATAACAAACTGGGTGGACTTTAACAGCAATCAGTTGATAGTAAAACTGTGCTGACATTATCCGTTGTAACCCTCACATTTAATCTCTTTTAGTGGTTTTAGAAAATAGAAGCAAGAGAAAATCCTGGTCCTTTGGTGATGTAGTTATTTGCATTCTCCATAGGCAGAGGAAAAAAATCTTTAGAAATGTAAAAGAACATGTTGGTAATGAAGTTCTGTAAAAGGAAGGAGCTGAACTGAGGGGGTGAATGTGTGATAAATTTGTTAGCTTTTCTACCAACAGACTCTTCTTTTGAGTTCCTTGTTACATTTTCTGGCCATGGTCTCACTGACATTTTTGGGAAATCAGGGCACAGTCGGAACATTTGGCAGCCTGCTGAGTATGTTCTACTCAGATATTTCCAGAACATTTGGCTACATGGTGGGTGGATTCCACCTGGCTGCTTGTATAAAATTGGCATCATGGTGGAAGGAGATGGACACAGAAACACATGACATAGTATGGGAGCCTTTCAGGCTGGCATCATCAGTCTGCTGTGCCCATTCTTTAATTTACAGAACATGGCTGACATTAAGAAACTGAAATCAGTAGGAATCTGTACCATCAAAGGGATACAGATGACAACAAGAAGAGCACTGTGTAATGTCAAAGGACTCTCAGAAGCCAAAGTGGACAAGATTAAAGAGGCAGCAAACAAACTAATTGTAAGCAAAATCCATTATTTGCTGTTTTAGCTTAGAAGGGCCTTGTGAATCTTTATAGGCTTTCTCATTATGAAAACTAGAAACTATTGTGGAAACTGTATTCCCGTAGATCACAATATATTATACTCCCCATGTTAACTTTTTATCACTTCAGTTTCAAAGCAACAGCAATTAATTTCTGAAAGATGAAGGTAGGAATTAAGAGACCTAGAACACTAATGAAGGTAATTATTTTTGCCAAAACTTTTCTTTTTGTCTCCCTTTATATTACTTTTTCTGGCTGTCTCTGCCTTTCCTTCTTTTCATTTTTATTTTTTACCTTCCTCTTCCTTAATTTTGTCTTGTCTCCTCAAATATCATAGCTATGGCTGTTGGGAAGCACTCAGTACCAAAGAAGTTGCTCTCTCCTGCATAAGTAGAAATAACACATAGTTATATATTGCAAATATAGGAGATTGATATATAGCCAGTTGATAAAAGAGCACTGGATTAGAAAAAGACCAACAGTGGTTGAGTCTATATACATGCAGTTGAGTTAGATAGGACCAAGAATGTGCTCACTGAAGCAGCTGAGCTAAACTATACTGATACAGGGAAAGTGAGTCTCCAAAATTGGGGCTTAACCTGGGAGGGTTCTTAGCTTTGCCCGAGAAAGAATTCAAAGGTGAGCCAGTGGTATTGGACAACAACTTTTGTTGAAGCAGCCTAGTACAGCAGCCACAGAGGTACTGTTCCTTGCAGAGCACGGCTACCCCATAGGCAGTATGCCCAAAAGTAGCAGCTCAGAGGCAGTTTTGCCATTATAGTTATACCCACTTTTAATTACATGCAAATTAAGGGGCAGTTTATGCAGAAATTTCTAGGAAAAGAGTGGTAATTTCTGGATCATTATGTCATTGCCATGGAAAGCGGCAGTAACTTCTAGGTGTTGCCATAGCAATGGTAAACTGACATGGCACACTAATGGGCATGCCTTATCGAAAGCTGCTTCTGCCCTGGACCCTGTTTTAGCTAGTTCTCAATTTGGTCTGGTGTCTGAACCCCACTTCTGGAATCAAATCCCACCTCCTACCTTACTACTTTCTAGCAGGGCCCGTGCATCTGCCAGGCTACCAGACAAAAGCATATGTGCCTTTGACTCAAGCTTTTATGTAGAACTTTTGGGAACCACTAGAGGTACCAGCTCTGGAAATAGGAAAGCAAAGAAAGGTAGTCACTAAGTCTTCCTCTTCTTAATAGCTGGCCTCTCCATTTCTCTATCAGTATATAAGGGTCTCATTCTCAGTGAGTCTGAGAAGTTCTCTTCACCGACAGCCATTTGGTTTTCTTCTCCAGAGGTGGTCATGGCATGAGAGTGATGCAAGTGGCAGTGTGATCCTGAACCTGGAGAGGACCCAACTGAACTGAATTATTCTGAACCCAGCTCAGTTGCCCTAGCTTCTGAGTACACTCAAGTGGTGTGCCCACAAGTCAATTCCACAACTGCCAAGGTGTTTAAGAAAGCCCTTGAGCAGCACCCAGGGTTTGGGAAACTGCTCTAAGACATTAGACTTATTTTCTTTGGAAATTAAATCTCATTACCAAAGAACCCCTCTCCGTCTCAAGAACCCACTACTGCACCTAGAATCTTCTCCTTTCTTAGCTTAAACTGTTTAATTCTTTTTTATTTTTATTTTTTAAGAGAAGGGTATTAGGCTGGGTACAGTGGCTCACACCTGTAATGCCAGCACTTTGGGAGGCCAATGCAGCCAGATCATGAGGTCAGGAGTTCAAGACCAGCCTGGCCAACATAGTGAAACCCCATCTCTACTAAAAATACAAAAATTTGTCAGGCATGGTCGCGGGCACCTGTAGTCCCAGCTACTCAGGAGGCTGAGGCAGGAGAATCGCTTGAACCTGGGGGGCAGAAGTTGCAGTGAGCTAATATCACACCACTGCACTCCAGCCTGGGCAACACACCGAAACTCTGTCTCAAAAAGAAAAAAGAGGAAGAGTATCTCACTGTGTTGCCCAGTCTGGGTTTGAACTCCTAGGTTCAAGTGATCCTTCCACCTCTGCTTCTGAAGTACATCGGATTACAGGAATGTGCCACTATGCCCAAATTTATTTATTCATTTACTTTGAGACAAGGTCTCACTCTGTCACCCAGGCTGGAGTACAGTGGCTCAATCACAGTTCACTGTGGCCTTGACCTCCTAGGCTCAAGTGATCCTCCCACCTCAGCCTCTGGAATAGCTGAGACTACAGGCACATAGTACCATGTCCAGCTAATTTAAAAAAATTTTTTTAGAGATGAGGTATCTCTAAAAACTCCTGGGATCAAACAGTCCTCCCACCTCAGCCTCTCGAAGTGCTGAGGTTATAGGTGTGAGCCACTGCATCCAGTTGTTTATTGTTAAAGGTAGAGAAAGAGATTGAGAGAGAGATAGAGACAGAAAGAGAGAGAGGAGAGAAAGAAAGTAAGTTAATTTCATAGTATGGTGGTTCCAAACATTGATGTGTATCAGAATCACCTAGGTGTGGCTAATGAAGAAAACAGAGGCCCAGGCTCACTGAAGTAGGATAGGACCTGGGCTTGCCTGTTCCCATTCTCCAAGTTCTCCAAAGTTTGAGAACCACCTTCATAGTATAAAACAACAGAGGGAAACACATTAGAACTGCATTGGGGGGCCGGGCGCGGTGGCTCAAGCCTGTAATCCCAGCATTTTGGGAGGCCGAGGCGGGTGGATCACGAGGTCAAGAGATCGAGACAATCCTGGTCAACATGGTGAAACCCCGTCTCTACTAAAAATACAAAAAATTAGCTGGGCATGGTGGCGCGTGCCTGTAATCCCAGCTACTCGGGAGGCTGAGGCAGGAGAATTGCCTGAACCCAGGAGGCGGAGGTTGCGGTGAGCCGAGATCGCGCCATTGCACTCCAGCCTGGGTCACAAGAGCGAAACTCCGTCTCAAAAAAAAAAAAAAAAAAAAAAAGAACTGCATTGGGGCCCTCCACTGGTCCTCCACTGCATCAGCTGTACCTTTTTAACCAGTCAATAAGTAGTATATCTACCATGTGAAAAATATTGTCTCAATAATAATGAAAACTGGAATTTCTGTGCTCCTTGAAACTTCTACAGCTGGAGGGAAAAACAAATGATGCTGTTGGCCAGGCGCGGTGGCTCACGCCTGTAATCCCAGCACTTTGGGAGGCCGAGGCAGGTGGACCACAAGGTCAAGAGATTGAGCCCATCCTGACCAACATGGTGAAACCCTGTCTCTACTAAAAATACAAAAATTAGCCAGGTGTGGTGGCGTAGGCCTGTAATCCCAGCTACTCGGGAGGCTGAGGCAGGAGAATTGCTTGAAGCCATGAGTAGGAGGTTGCAGTGAGCCGAGATCACACCACTGCGCTCCAGTCTGGTGACAGAATGAGACTCCATCTCAAAAACAAAAAAAAAAAAAATGATGCTGTTGAATGAAAAAAAAATTGAATTGTTCAGTAAAATACCATCTGCTTTATGCCATAAATATATCTCATTTGGCCGGATGTGGTGGCTCACGCCTGTAATCCCAGCACTTTGGGAGGCCGAGGTGGGTGGATCACCTGAGGTCAGGAGTTCAAGACCAGCCTGGCCAGTATGGTGAAACCCCATCTCTACTAAAAATACAAAAACTAGCTGGGTGTGGTGGAAGACGCCTGTAATTCCAGCTACTCAGGAGGCTGAGGCAAGAGAATCGCTTGAACCTGGGAGGCAGAGATGGCAGTGATCCATGATCACACTACTGCACTCCAGCCTGGGCAATAGAACGAGACCCGTTCTCAAAAAAAAAAAAAAAATTTATATATATACATCTATATCATTTAATTTTCACAGCTACTCATTGAAGAAACACTGTTTTACGTGTTTGATCCCTAAGAAGAAGCTTAAATACAGCAAGATTAAGTAATTTACTCCATATCATACAACTCATAAGTATTAGAAATATGATTTGCCCTAGAAAGGGCAGCTCTAAAGCCTATGTTCCTAACCATAATCTTGTACTGCCTTCAAGGACAAGTGAATGGTAGCTTATACCAAATGATGACCTTAATAATCGAGTATATCATTTTGGGCAACATTTAAAAAAAAAAAAACATCATCTTAAACCCTTTCTGAACATTTCCTTTTATCCTTCTGTAGGAACCAGGATTCTTGACTGCATTTGAGTATAGTGAAAAGAGGAAAATGGTTTTCCATATCACCACCGGGAGCCAGGAATTTGAGTGTGTATCTTACATTCTTTATAACCACTAAGCCAATCTTTGGAATATCATGTTTCTTTTCCTCTTTCTAGTTATTTCTACTATAAGTAGTAGAAGTAGCTTCTTCATTTGAAGTTTGGGGGTTTTTTTTCTTTTTCAAAATGCAAACCGAAACAAATTCCAGACTGCTTGGAGGAGCAAGATTAAATGTCTTACAAGAAATTCAGACCCAAAACCTAGTTTCTGAATCGGCCTATATTAATCTCAAACCATTTTTAAAAATCAATTTCACTTTTCATTTACTTTCCTTATCCATTGATGAAGGAGGTTTCATTGCATATTTTGGTTTTACTCAAAAAGCAGTTGTTGGCCAGGAGCGGTGGCTCACACCTATAATCCCAGCACTAAGGGAGGCGGAGGTGGACAGATCATCTGAGATCCCAGCACTCTGGGAGGCGGAGGCAGGCAGATCACCCAAGGTCGGGAGTTCAAGACCAGCCTGACCAACATGGAGAAACCCGTCTCTGCTAAAGATAAAAAATTAGCTGGGTGTGGTGGCAGGTGCCTGTAATCTCCGCACTTTGGGAGGCTGAGACGGGTGGATCATGAGATCAGGAGACCAGCCTGGCCAACATGGTGAAACCCCTTCTCTACTAAAACTACAAAAAATTAGCCGGGTGTGAAGGCATGTCTCAGCTACTTAGGAGGCTGACACAGGAGAATTGCTTGAAACCGGGAGGTGAGGCTGCAGTGAGCTGAGATTGTGCCACTGCACTCCAGCCTGGGCGACAGAGCAAGACTCTATCTCAAAAAAAAAAAAAAATAGCCGGGTGTGGGGCCGGGCGCGGTAGCTCACACCTGTAATCCCAGAACTTTGGGAGGCCGAGGCTGGCCGATCATGAGGTCAAGAGATCGAGACCATCCTGGCCAACATGGTGAAACCCCGTCTCTACTAAAAATACAAAATTTAGCTGGGTGTGATAGTGGGTGCTTGTAGTCCCAGCTACTCAGGAGGCTGAGGCAGGAGAATTGCTTAAAAAAACGGGAAGCGGAGGTTGCAGTGAAGCGAGATCACATCACTGCACTTCAGCCTGGCAACAGAGCAAGACTCCCACTCAAAAAAAAAAAAAAATTAGCCCAATGTGATGGCACCTGCCTGTAGTCCCAACTATTCACGGGGCTGAGGCAGGAGAATCGCTTGAACCCAGGAGGCAGAGATTGCAGTGAGCTGAGATTGCGCCACTGCACTGCATCCTGGGCAACGAGAGGGAGACTCTCTCTGGGGGAAAAAAAAAAGGAAGCAGATGCGGTGGCTCACGCCTGTAATCCCAACACTTTGGGAGGCCAAGGAGGGTGGATCACCTGAAGTCGGGAGTTCAAGACCAGCCTGACCAACATGGAGAAACCCAGTCTCTACTAAAAGATACAAAATTAGCCGGATGTGGTGGCGCATGTCTGTAATCCCCGCTGCTCAGGGGACTGGGGCAGGAGAATCGCTTGAACCTGGGAGGTGGAGGTTGCACCCGGTGAGCCAAGATCGTGCAATTGCACTCCAGCCTGGGCGACAAGAGTGAAACTCCCATCTCCAAAAGAGGGGGGAAAAAGAAAAGAAAAAAAAATTTACCCTGAGTTCATAGTTGACAATTGTTGAAGCTGAGTGATAGACATGATGGTTCATTATATTGTTTTTGTCTATGTTTGTTTATGCTTGATATTTTCTATAAAATATTAATATATAATATAAACGGTGGGGGTTTTTTGTTTGGTTTTTTTTTTTTTTTTTGGAGACTGAGTTTTGCTCTGTCGCCAGGCTGGAGTACAGTGGCTCAATCTTGGCTCACTGCAATCTCCAACTACCTGGCTCAAGCAATTCTCTTGCCTCAGCCTCCCAAGTAGCTGGGATTACAGGTGTCTTCCACCACACCCAGCTAATTTTTGTATTTTTAGTAGAGATGGGATTTCTCCATGTTGGCCAGGATGGTCTCTATCTCCTGACCTCGTGATCTGCTCGCCTTGGCTTCACAAAGTGCTGGGATTACAGGCATGAGTCATCCACTGCTCCCAGCCTAATTCAACTATTTCTTACCACCTCACTACTGTTACCTCACTGGACTAAACTACCACCTATTAAGATCTCCCCTAGATTATTATAATAACCTCTAATTAACCTCCCTCCTTGAGACCTTGCCCCTACTGTTTTTTTTTAATTCACAAAAGAGTCAGATTGGTCATTTTAAAACATAGGTTTGGCTGGAGTGTAGTGGCCTGTAACTCCCAAATGATTCCCCATCTCAGTATATGTTTGTTGTATGCTGTCAAAATCTGACAGTCATCCTTCTAACTGCTAGCATTACCTGCTAGCATATTTTCATAACATCTTTGAACATTTTCTGTTCTGACACGTTCTCCATAAAATTTGGTTTCTGTGAGATAACCTGACCATAATGACAATCACTGGATTCTCCTAATAACTTTTTTTCAGTATCTTAAAAATTAAAGCTGGGCATGATAGCTCATGCCTATAATCCTAACACTTTGGAAGGCAGAGGCGGGCAGATCACTTGAGCCTCAGGAGTTTGAGACCAACCTGGGCAACATAGCAAGACCCCAGCTGTACAAAAAAATAAAAACTTAGCTCGGTGTCAGGTGACAGAACAAGATCCTGTCTCAAAAAAGAAAAATGAAAGAAAAAATATTGAAAATTCAATTGACTGTTGGAAACATAGTTCCAGCACAATATTAAACACTCAATTTAATATCAGACAGGCTAGGCACTGTGGCTCATGCCTGTAATCCCAGCACTTTGGGAGGCCAAGGCAGGCAGATCACCTAAGGTCAGGAGTTTGACACCAGCCTGGCCAATGTAGTGAAACCCTGTTTCTACTAAAAATACAAAAATTAGCCAAGCATGGTGGCAGGCACCTGTAATCCTAGCTACTTGGGAGGCTGAGGCAGGTTAATCTCTTGAACCTGGTAGGCGGAGGTTGTAGTGAACCAATATCATGCCACTGCACTCTAGCCTGGGCATCAGAGTGAAACTATCTCTTGAAATAAATATAATAATAATAATAATAGTTAAGACGGTCTGTAACTCCAATTTGATTCTAAAGATTAGTAAAACATAAGGCCTTGCTAACCCATTTACTATTTTTATTTTTTTCTTAAAATAATTTTTTGTTATTTTTAAGCCTGCAACATGCAGTATTCCCAGGCCCCATTTATTATTGAAATAAGAATGGCAGAGCTTATCATTGATTTTGCTGATCCACTTCCCCATACATAATAGAACCTGTGATCTGCACAGGTGGCATGCTATTTGTTCAACCAAGAATTCCTGTTCATGTTCTGTAGATAGATAGATAGATAGATGATAGGTTAGATAGACAGATAGATATGATGGTAATGATATGAATACGTTCTCCTCCCTTAATATTTTCTATTTCTGTTTCTGTTACTAATGCTTTCTTTCTATTTCCAGTAAGTTGCTAGGAGGTGGAATTGAAAGCATGGCAATTACAGAAGCTTTTGGAGGTAGGTAGAACCTTAATATTTTGTTAAATGAAATTTTATACACCCACACACATCTATGTGTATAATACACATATAATTAAACAAACAACCAATAATAAATTGTACCTATTTTGGAACTTAAAAATCGCAATTATCATGAGATCATTCTATGCTTCAACAAAAATATATAACAACATTAACAGATGGGTCTTATCAACAGTTTTCATCTTTTTTCTTTTTGAGACAGAGTCTTGCTGTGTCACCAGGCTGGAGTGCAGTGGTGTGATCTTGGCTCACTGCAACCTCCACCTCCTGGGTTCAAGCGATTCTTCTGCCTCCAGAGGAGCTAGGACTACAGGCGCATGCCACCACACCCAGCTAATTTTTGTATTTTTAGTAGAGACAGGGTTTTACCATGTTGGCCAGGACGGTCTCGATCTCTTGACCTCGTCATTCGCCTGCCTCAGCCTCCCAAAGTGCTGGGATTACAGGTGTGAGCCACCACACTGGCCACTTTTCATCTTTTATTTGTGATTTCTATAGAAGATAATAGATTTTTTTTTCACGTATATGTTCAAAAGGTAATTGAAGAATAAGGCTGATTTTATTTCTAGGCAATTAATGTTCCATGAACATAGAGACTAGATTCTCCCCTGATTATGTCCTCTATTTTTTTTTTTTTTGAATAATATATACAGGGTCTTGCTATGTTGCTCAGGATTGGTCTCAAACTCCTGGACTCAAGCAATCCTCCTGCCTCGACCTCCCAAAGTGCTGGGATTATAGGCATGAGCCACTGTACCTGTCCTAGCCTCTAATTTTAAAAAGCAATTCATGCATAGCTACAGAGTGTATCATATCTGACAAATCCAGTATTTGCTGTCCTTGGATAACTAAATCAGTTTTTTGTTGTTTTTTTCCTGTTGACTTGGGCACTAAATCTGGTTCTCATTATTTCTGTTGACTCAATCTTAGTGGCTTACCTTCTTATGTATTTATTGGTGTTTCTGAGCTTATTGTTTGATTTTAATCTATGAGAGTTCAATTGACCTAGATTGGTAAGTAGGAAAGTTTTCCTCCAGAAAGAATTTGCTTTTGCTGGTAGCTAGGGGATGGCACCAATTTGAGACTATTTCAGCTCCCCTGTGAGGACCTCAGTTCAGTAGGGAAGCCCTAGGCTTTCTTTCCTGTGGTAGGGTTGTTTTTGTTTTGTTTTGTTTTGTTTGAAATAGAGTCTCACTCTGTCTCCCAGGCTGGAGGGCAGTGGCGCCGTCTTGGCTCACTGCAACCTCTGCCTCCCAGGTTCAAGCAATTCTGCCTTAGCCTCTCAAGTAGCTGGGATTACAGGCACCTGCCACCACACCAGGCTAATTTTTGTTTTATTGGGGGGTGGTTTGTGGGGGAGGCAGGAAGACGGAGTCTCATTTGGTTGCCCAGGCTGGAGTCCAATGGTGCGATCTTGGTTCACTGCAGCCTCTGCCTGCCAGGTTCAAGCAATTCTCCTGCCTCAGCCTCCCAAGTAGCTGGGACTACAGGCACATGCCACCACACCTGACTAATTTTTTTGTATTTTAGCAGAGACGGGGGTTTTGCTGTGTAGCCCAGGCTGGTCTTGAACTCCTGAGCTCAGGCAATCCGCCCACCTTGGCCTCCCAAAGTGCTAGGATTACAGGCCACTGCGCCCACCTAATTTTTGCATTTTTGGTAGAGATAGGGTTTTGCCATGTTTGCTATGCTAGTCTTGAACTCCTGACCTCAAGTGATCTACCCATCTCAGCCTCCCAAAGGGCTGGGATTACAGGTGTGGGCCACTAAGCTTCATCCCATGTGGTAGGGTCTTAAACTTTCATTTATATGACTGTTCCTAAGGAAAACTTGGTTTAAATTAATTTATATTAAACAAATAAGGCTGGGTGTGGTGGCTCACTCCTCTAATCCTAGCATTCAGGCGGATCACCTGAGGTCAGGAGTTTGAGACCAGCCTGGCCAACACGGTGAAACCCCCTCTCTACTAAAAATACAAAAATTAGCCAAGCATGGTGGTGGGCGCCTGTAATCCCAGCTACTTGGGAGGCTGAATCAGGAGAATCATTCGAACCCGGGAGGCAGAAGTTGCAGTGATCTGAGATCATGCCATTACACTCTAGCCTCAACAACAGAGTGAGACTTCATCTCAAAACAAAAAATAACACCCAGGATACTTTATGTGTAAGATTTGACAGTTGGAAAAGAAAAAGAAAATATTCTGAGGCCATGTTTTATTCTTTATGAAAATATCTAAAAATTATGCATTTTTAGAATCTTTTTTTATGTATTTCACAGAATTTCGTACTGGAAAAACCCAGCTCTCTCATACCCTCTGTGGTAAGGATATGTAACAACAATAACAATAATAATCATAACTATTATTTATCAAACATCTATGTGCTTGATACTCTAATCTCATATAATCTGAACATGCTTGCAAGGAAACTAAAACACAGGCAGATTAAGTAAACTGCCTGTGGTTATACAGCTGGTCTTTGAAATATGTGATGTTTGAGGTGATGTATGTGCTGGACTATGAACACCTGAGTAGAAATAGAAGTTAAATGGGTCTATGAATGTGCTGGTGAGGAGTCCACTGTCTCAATTTTTCCCATTCCATCTTTTCTACATCTTTTTTTAGGAGAGTGACACAAAATCTATGGGGTGCTAGAATCTTTCACTTTTCATTGCTCAAGGTTGGCCCTAAGAGAGACTTAAAAACAAAATTGTTTTAAACAAAATATGTAAAGATATCTCCTTTTCCATATGGCACTACAGTGCATTTCTTTGACCTATGGAGAAGGAACTTGGCAAAGTGGTTAGGAAAGGGGTTCTGGGCCGGGCGTGGTGGCTCATGCCTGTAATCCCAGCATTTTGGGAGGCCGAGGCAGGTGGATCACGAGGTCAAGAGATCGAGACCATTCTGGTCAACATGGTGAAACCCGGTCTCTATTAAAAATACAAAAAATTAGCTGGGCATGGTGGCGCGTGCCTGTAATCCCAGCTACTCAGGAGGCTGAGGCAGGAGAATTGCCTGAACCCACGGGGCGGAGGTAGCAGTGAGCCGAGATCGCACCATTGTACTCCAGCCTGAGTAACAAGAGCGAAATTCTGTCTCAAAAAAAAAAAAAAGAAAGGGGTTCTGGAATCAAAATGCCTGACTCCAATCCTGATTCTATCATTAGTAGCTGTATGACCTTGGGCAGGTTTCTCTACTTCTGTAATTTCCCCCATCAATGGAATTGAAATAATGATAGTGCCAAATCTTAGGATTGTCTTGAATGGTAAATGAAAAAATGTATATACCTGGTATAAAAAAGCTCCTTAGTGTTAACTACTACTACCTAAAAAGTAAATGCAGCTGGGCACAGTGGCATGCGTCTGTAATCCCAGCACCTAACCCTGGGAGGATCTCCTGAAGTCAGAAATTTGAGACCAATCTGGTCAACATGTCTCTACCAAAAAATACAAAAATTAGCTGGGCCTGATTGCATGTGCCCGTTGGGGAGGCTGAGGTAGGAGAATCATTTGAACCCAGGAGACAGAGGTTGCAGTGAACCAAGATCATGCCACCGTGCTCCAGGCTGGGTGACAAAGTGAAACCTGTCTCAAAAAAAAAATGCGTTTTCATGTTTTTTTTTTAAATCAAACCTGTGAGTTCAATGTTTTTTCTTTTCTTTTTTAAGTCAAACTGTAAATGCATTTTTAAAATTTGACATACATTAATTGAAAGGTAACTTAAATTAGTTATATAGCAAAAAATATATTTGTGACTTTTTTTTTGAGATGGAGTCTTGCTCTGTCACCAGCTCTGGCTGGAGTTCAGTGGCATGATCTTGGCTCATGCAACCTCTGCCTCCTGGGTTCAAGCAATTCTCCTGCCTCAGCCTCCAGAATAGCTGAGGCTACAGGTGTGCACCATTATGCCTGGCTAACTTTTTAGTAGAGACAGGGTTTCACCATGTTGGCCAGGCTGGTCTTGAGCTCCTGATCTCAAATGATCCACTCACCTCGGCCTCCCAAAGTGCTGGGATTACAGGCATGAGCCACCATGCCTGGCCATATTTGTGACTATTTCTTATAGGAAGAAAGTTAGTAACATTTAAATTCTATTTCCATTTGGGAGAACTAACTTTTACAAATATCTTCCATTATGAAAGATAGTGAAATTATTTGTAGAATTGCTACTATGCTGGCAGAATACTTATAATTTCACCACTGGTTAAGTAATATGAAAATATAACATGTTGTTTAGAAACGAAAGGATAATGACTCTTTGCTAAATGTACTAGAGAGTTGCAACAGCAGATTCCATGTTTACTTATATAGTCATTTGTACAAAGTTTATTCACTCCTATTAATATTAATTTTTATATGCTTCCTAGTGACAGCTCAACTTCCAGGAGCTGGTGACTACCCAGGAGGAAAGATCATCTTCATTGATACAGAAAATACTTTGTAACCTTTTTAATTCAAGTTACTAAAGTAATAGTGTGATATAGGAATGTTACCAAGAAAGAGTTTGTCTGAGATATACCATCTTTGCAGTCATCCCATAAACCAGCAATAATGAGACAAGCCAAGGGAAAAACAATTACTGGTTAAGTTCTCAAACCACTTTTTCTTTAATAAGATTTCACTTCTTCATATGAGTTTATGAGACAAAACAAATACATGAGAGGAAATGACATGGTCTTCATTTTTAATCGCTTACTTCTCTAAAGATGTTGCTTAATAGAAAGAAGTTTTTGTTGTTGTTTTTGTTTTTTTCTGAGACAGAGTGTCTGCTCAGGAGGTATTGTGACTTAAAAAAAAAAAAGAGACAGAGTCTTGCTCTGTTGCCCAGAGTGCAGTGGGGAGATCTCAGCTCACTGCAACCTTCATCTATTCAAGCAATTCTCCTGCCTCAGCCTCCCGAGCAGCTGGGATTGTTCAAGCAATTCTTCTGCCTCAGCCTTCTGAGTAGCTGGGATTACAGGCATGTGCCACCACATCTGGCTAATATTTTTATATTTTTAGTAGAGATAAGGTTTCGCCATGTTAACCAGGCTGTTCTCAAATTCCTGACCTCAGGTGATCTGCCTGCCTTGGCCTCTCAAAGTGCTGTGATTACAGGTGTGAAGATTACTGACTCACTGAAATCATGGTTCCAAATAAAAGGAAAGGTATGAGGAGGGCAAAATTTCATAAGGAAAACAGGCAGAACCTGAAAGAATTGCAGTTTAATTCAAGTGTAAGGTATTCCAGGATATGGGCTAGAAAGATAATTGGGATCTTAGACATGAAAGGCTTTCAAACAAGATAGTCGATGTAAATTGGACACTTTAGCAATATTCTAGGCAAGTCGTGAGAACTTGATCTAGGTTGGAAGTGGCAAGAACAAAAAGAAAAAGAAAATAAATATTAGAGAGGAAAATTGATAGGACTTGATGGCTGTATTTGGTAGACAAAGGAAAGAGAGGTTAGATAAACCACTCAGATTTTTTGTCTAGATACTGGGAGAATAGTGATGCAGTGCTAACAATAGAACTGGGAAGATCATGTTTCAGAGAAAAGGTGATGTTTCATTTTAATGTACTAATTTTACTTTTTTTTGAGACAGAGTCTTTCTCCATCACCCAGGCTGGAATGCAGTGATAGAGTCTCAATACACTGCAACCTCCACCTCCCAGGTTCAAGCTTTTTTTCATGCCTCAGCCTCTCCCAAGTAGCTGAGATTACAAACCTGCACCACCTTGCCTGGCTAATTTTTTGTATTTTTAGTAGAGACAGGGTTTCACCATGTTGGTCAGGCTGGTCTTGAACTCCTGACCTCAAGTGATCCACCCACCTTGGCCTCCCAAAGTGCTGGAATTACAGGCGTGAGCCACCACGCACGGCCTAATTGTTTTTTCTTTTTTTGAAACAAGGTCTCACTCTGTTGCCCAGGCTGGAATGCAACGGCCCAATTACACTCACTGCAGACTTGAACTCCCAGGGTCAAGTGATCCTCCCACCTCAGCCTCCTGAGTAGCTGGAACTACAGACCCACACCACCATGCCTGGCTAATTGTTTTTATCTTTCATAGAGACCAGGTTTTGCCATGTTGCCCAAGCTGATCTCCGACTCCTGGGCTCAAGCAATCTGCCTACCTTGGCCTCAGAAAGTACTGGGATTACAGGCATGAGCCATTGTGCCCAGCCTTCATTTTAAGGTATTGAATATGATGTACCTGAGGACATCCAGATAGCAGTTGGAAATATTGAATTCAGCTTGAGAAAGGGGTAGGGCCAGAGATATCGATGAATTAACCAAGTGGGAAAGAGAACTTGTAGAGAGAGAAGAGAGGAGAACTGAGAACATAACTTTGAGGTCTGTTTATATTTAGGAAGAGGACTAAAACGAGGAACCCAGAGACAGAGGAAGTAGAAGGAAATCTGGAAATCTGGAACCCAGAGACAGAGGAAAAGTCAAGCAAAAGGAAAGTTTCAAGATGAAAAGAGTAGTCAGCAATGTTACACACAGATTTTGAGGGCGAAGCCTGAGAAAGATCACTAAAGTTCAAAATTAGGAGTTCAAGCGAACATGTGCTATAGGGTGAGGTGATAGAAGCTTTTTGTAAATAAACAATAAGGGGCCAGGCGCAGTGGCTCACGCCTATAGTCCCAGTACTTTGGGAGGCTGAGGTGAGCGGATTATGAGGTCAGGAGTTCAAGACCAGCCTGGCCAACATGATGAAACCCCATTTCTACTAAAAATACAAAATTTTGCCAGGCATGTTGGTGGGTACCTGTAATCCCAGCTGCTTGGGAGGTTAAGGCAGGATAATTGCCTCAACCCAGGAGTCAGGGGCTGCAGTGAGCTGAGATCCCGCCATTGTACTCCAGCCTGGGTGACAACAAGATTCCGTCTCAATAAATAAATAAATAAACAAACACACAATAAGGGAGGGAGGCAGTATCAAATTGACCAGTGAAAGGAAGATCAACTATACTAGTTTGAGGAGGTATTCAGATGAAATTCTTTTTAACAACAACAAAGACCTGCACGTTTGTAAGGCTATTCACAGTGAAGCCCCAGCCTGCCTCTCCAAGGTCATTACTTACCATTGTCATTATTAGAGGCAACGAGATGAATCTGTTTTAGTCCATCCCATTGCCTGTAAATATGCTTTGTTATCAAAATTTTAACATATGTCTGGTCTCACTCCAGTAATCCCAGCACTTCGGGATGCCAAGACAGGAGGATCACTTGAGGTCAGGAGTTCAAGACCAGCCTGGGCAACATAGTGTTTCTATGAAAAAAATTTTAAACTAGCTGGGTGTTGTGGCTATGAATGCCAGCTACTTGGAAGGCTGAGGCAAGAGGATCATTCGAGCCCAGGAGTTCATGATTAGCTTGGGCAACATAGCAAGACTGCCTCTGCCAAAAAAAAAAAAAAAAAATCTAAAAACACTGTACATCAGCAGTTATTTAGATTTACCTAAAAAAGACTTTTGTAGGGCTGGGTGTGGTGGCTCACGCCTGTAATCCCAGCACTCTGGGAGGCTGAGAAGGGCGGATCCTCCGAGGTCAGGAGTTCCAGACCAGTTTAGCCAACATGGTGAAACCCAATCTCTACTAAAAATACAAAAAATTAGCCAGGCATGGTGGTGGGCAGGCATCTGTAATCCCAGCTACTCAGGAGGCTGAGGCAGGAGAATTGCTTGAACCCGGGAGGCAGAGATTGCAGTGAGCCAAGATCTGGTCATTGCACTCCAGCTTGGGCTACAAGAGCGAAAAACTCATTCTCAAAAAAAAAAAAAAAAAAAAAAAATCAGCCGGGTGTGGTGGCGCCAAAAAAAAAAAAGATTTTTGTTTTCTTTTTTCATTATGGTTTCTTACATCCCAAATGTTATTCTTTTCTGTATTTTTGTTTTGCTGGAATACTTATTTCTTTCAGAAATGTAATCCAGGTGGCTAACTTTGAACCACCTGTCTGAAAGTGCCTTTATTTTGCTCTCACTCTTGGCTGTTAATTTGACTGGTCACAGAGAAATTTGCATTGTATATTTCTATCTTCCTGGGTATTTGCTTCTTCCGTCTCCATCTCACAGTCTTTCTGAATCACACAAATCCTTCAAGGCTCTCATTTCAATGCTGGCTTTTTCTAATCTTCCCTAATTACTAAATTTAGAAAATCTTGTCCTTCTTGACCTATGATAGAATTTACTATCTAAAATACTCACTTAGCAAACCAAACAGAGAACTGTTTGCAGAAGTCTTTATTCGGAAATGCCAGGCATGAGAAGACTCTGAAAGAGCCTTTTAACTTGGGGAAGGAGGGTGAAATGTTGTATAGGGCTTTAACAAGGAGCCTCAGCTGGAGTCCAGCTGGTTTCAGAAAGATTAAGGATGATTCTCATCTCAAGGAAGAATTGTTCTTGCAGATTAGCAGCCACTGTTTGGGCAATTTGGATTTTATCAAGAAAGATAGAATAGTTAGGAACTAAGTCATATGCAAGAGAGAGTGGAGAAGAACAGCTGACGGGAGTGCGGGGCACTGTGGCAAGGATCACGTCTGAATGTTCTCATTCTTTCAGTGTTTCTTACTTATACTGCTGTCTCTTGATATTTTTATTTTTATTATGTTTATATTTTGCCTCCTTAATTATGTTTTAAATTTACCTAGGGCATAGGTTGCCTTATGACTCCTTATATCCTCCACAATGATTTGCCTTGGCAATTGGTTAATATGGTAATCAATTCCTTATGGTAATTGTTTAATAAATATTTATAATTGATCTGAACTTCCCTTCAGCATAAGCCTAAGTTTTTCATTTAAATTTTTTTTATTTTGTTTTGCTTTCGAGACAGGGTCTTGCTCTGTCACCCAGGCTGGAATGTAGTGACACGATCATGGGTCACTGTAGCCTCGATATCCAGGACTCAAGTGATCCTCCCACTTCAGCCTCCCAAGTAACTGGGACTACAGGCACGTGCCATCATGCCCAGGTAATTTTTGTATTTTTTTGGTGGAGACAGGGTTTCACCATGTTGCCCAGGCTCACCAGGAGCTCAGGAGCTCCAACTCCTGAACTCAAGTGATCCTCCCACCTGGGCCTCCCAAAGTGCTGAGATTACAGGCATAAGTCACCGTGCCTAGTTTTGTTATTGCCTGTCTTTTGTATAAAAGCCATATTAACTGGGGTGAGATGATATCTCACTGTTTTGATTTGCATTTCGCTAATGATCAATGATATTGAGTACCTTTTCATATATCTATTTGCCATTTGTATGTCTTCTGTGAACCCAGAAAATCTGAGACAGGTCTCAGTTAATTTAGAAAGTTTATTTTGGCAAGGTTGAGGATGCTCCTGTGACACAGTCTCAGGAAGTCCTGATGACGTGTGCCCAAGGTGGTCGAGGCACAGCTTGATTCTGTACATGTCAGGGAGACGTGAGACATCAATCAATATATGTAAGAAGAACATTGGTTCAGTCTGGAAAGGCGGGACAACTTGAAGCAAAGGCAGGAAGACTCAAAGTGGGGAGTGGGCTTCCAGGTCACAGATAGGTGAGAGAGACACAAATGGTTGCATTCTTTTGAGTTTCTGATTAGCCTTTCCAAAGGAAGCAATCAGATATGCATCTAGCTCAGTGAGCAGAGGTGTGACTTTGAATAGAGAATGAGAGGCAGGTTTGCCATTAGCAGTTTCCAGCTTGAGTTTTCCTTAGAGATTTTTGGGGCCCAAGGTATTTTCCTTTTACACTTCTTTTGAGAAATGTCTTTTCAGATCTTTTGCCCATTTTAAAATCAGATTATTAGATTTTTTTTTCCTAAAGAATTGTTTGAGCTTTTTATATATTCTGATTATTAATCCCTTGTCAGATGGATAGTTTGGAAATACTTTCTCCCATTCTGCAGGTTGTCTCTTCACCTTGTTGATTGTTTCCTTTGCTGTTCAGAAGCTTTTTCACTTGATGTGATACCATTTGTCCATTTTTTCCATGGTTGCCTGTGCTTGTGTTGTATTACTCAAGAAATCTTCACCCAATACAATGTCCTGTAGAGTTTCCCCAATGCTTTCTTTTAGTAGTTTCATAGTTTGAGGTCTTAGATTTAAGTCTTTAATCCATTTTGATTTGATTTTTTATATGGTGGGAGATAGGAGTCTCATTTCTTTCTTCTGCATATGGATATCCAGTTATTCATTCCACCACCATTTACTGAAGAGACTGTCCTTTCACCAGTGTATGTCCTTGGCACCTTTGTCAAAAATTAGTTCACTTTAGGTGTGTGGATTTGTTTCTGGGTTTTCTATTCTGTTCCATTGGTCTATGTGTCTGTTTTTATGCCCATACCATGCTGTTTTGGTTACTATAACTCTGTAGTATAATTTGAAGTCAGGTAATGTGATTTCTCCAGTTTTGTATTTTCAGTACTTAAGATAGCTTTGGCTATTCTGGGTCTTTCATGGTTCCATATAAATTTTAGGATTGTTTTTCTATTTATCTGAAGAATGTCATTGGTATTTTGATAGGAATTGCACTGACTCTGTAGATTGCTTCAGGTAGTATGGATATTTTAACAATACTGATTCTTCTGACTCATGAACATGGAATATCTTTCTGTTTTTTGTGTGTCCTCTTCAATTTCTTTCATCAATGTTTTATAGTTTTCATTGTAGAGATCTTTCACTTCTTTGGTTAATTTCTAGATATTAAATTTTATTTGTAGCTATTGTAAATGGGATTAATTTTTAAACTTCTTTGGTTAATTTCTAGATATTAAATTTTATTTGTAGCTATTGTAAATGGGATTAATTTTTAAACTTCTTTTTCAGATCGTTCACTGTTGGTATTTAGAAATGCTACTGATTTTTGTATGTTGATTTTTTATCCTGCGACTTACCTAAATTGTTTATCAGTTCTAATAGTTTTTTGGGGGAGTCTAGGTTTTTTCAAATATAAGATCTTATTATCAGCAAACAAGGATAATCTGACTTTTTCCTTTTGAATCTGGATGCCCTGTATTTATTTCTCTTGTCTGATTGCTCTAGCTAGGACCTCCAGTACTATGTTGAATAACAGTGGCAAAATGGGCATACTTGTCTTGTTCCAGATCTTAGAGGAAAGACTTTCAGTTTTTCCCTATCCAGTATGATACTAGTTGTGGGTCTGTTGCATATGGCTTTTATGTTGGGGTATGTTCCTTCTATACCCAATTTTTTGTTTTGTTTGAGACAGAGTCTCATTCTGTTGCCAGGCTGGAGTGCGGTGATGCACTCTAGGCTCACTGTAACCTCTACCTCCCGAGTTCAAGTGATTCTCCTGCTTCAGCCTCCCAAGTAGCTGGGACTACAGCTGCACGCCACCACACCCAGCTAATTTTTGTATTTTTAGTAGAGACCATGTTGGCCATGTTGGCCAGGATGGTCTTGATCTCTTGACCTCATGATTCACCCACCTTGGCCTCCCAGGGCACTGGGATTATAGGCATGAGCCACCGCACCCAGGCTATACCCAAATTTTTTGAGTTTTTTTTTTTTATCATGAAGGAATGCTGAATTTTATCAAATGCTTTTTCAGCATCAATTGAAATGATACATTTTTTGTCCCTTCTGTTGATATGATACATCACATTGATTTGTGTTGAACCATCCTTGCATCCCTGAGTTGAATCCCACTTGGTCATGATGAATGATCTATTTAATGCGTTGTTGAATTTGGTTTCCTAGTATTTTGTTGAGGATTTAAGCCCAATTTTTACACCCCTGGTCACACTGTTCCCAGACCAAACTGAGGGTCAGTGTGCTTATTCTCATGGCCCAATAATGAGATGCAGATGAACTGGGAAAGGAAGGAGTTTTTGTTTTTATAACCCATTACAGGGAGAAGACCTGGAAAATAACACCAGACCAACTCAAAATTACAAAGTCTTCCAGAGCTTATATCCCTTCTAAGCTATATGTCTACATATAAGTGTGCATTCATCTAAATACATAAGTCACTTTGGGAGGCCAAGGTGGGCAGATCACTTGAAGCCAGGAGTTTGAGACCAGCCTTGCCAACATGGTGAAACCTCATCTCTACTAAAAATACAAAAATTCAGTCAAAACTTTGCAAAGAAAAAAAATTTTTTTAATTAAAAAGAAAAAAGATTAAAAATACAAAAATTAGCCAGTCATAGTGGCACATGCCTGTAGTCTCAGCTACTCACAATACTGAGGCAGGAGAATCACTTGAACCTGGGAGGCATAGATTGCAGTGACCTGAAATTGCGCCATTGCACTCCAGCCTGGGCAACAGAGCAAGACTCCATCTCAAAAAATATATAAAATAAATTTTAAAAAAGAAATAAGTGATTAACTTCTTTTAATCTGTAATTAAGATCTGAGTCCTAAAGACCTTCTTCCTCTGGAGCCTCAGTAAATTTCCTTAATCTAAATGGGTCCAGGTGCTGGGGTGATTACCCCTATCTTATCTCCTGCATGGAGGTTTGGAGAGTTCCTTCAGACCCCTAATAAACTTGTTTGTGGAGACCTGGGGAGTTTGTTCAGACTCCCAATAAAACTTGTTTGTTGGTAGGTTGTTTTTTTTTGAGATGGAGTTTCGCTCTTGTGACCCAGGCTGGAGTGCAATGGCACAATCTTGGTTCACCGCAACCTCCACCTGCTGGGTTCAGGCAATTCTCCTGCCTCAGCCTCCTGAGTAGATGGGATTACAGGCACGCACCACCATGCCCAGCTAATTTTTTGTATTTTTTTTTTTTAGTAGAGACGGGGTTTCACCATGTTGACCAGGATGGTCTCGATCTTTTGACCTCGTGATCCACCCGCCTCACCCTCCCAAAGTGCTGGGATTACAGGCTTGAGCCACCGCGCCCGGCCTGGTTGTTTTTTTTTAACCTATGAATTTGTTAATTTCAGAAAGCTAACAACTCCTGGCCAGGCATGGTGGCTCATGCCTGTAATCCTAGCACTTTGGGAGGCTGAGGCAGGCAGGTCATTTGAGGTCGGGAGTTCAAGACCAGCCTGGCCAACATGGCAAAAACGTGTCCACTAAAAATACAAAAATTAGCTGGGTATGGTGTCTCACACCTGTAATTCCAGCTACTCAGGAGACTGGAGCAGGAGAACTGTTAGAACCTGGGAGGCAGAGGTTGCAGTGAGCCGAGATCATGCCACTGCACTCCAGCCTGGGCAACAGAGCAAGACTCTGTCTCAAAAAAAAAAGCTAACAACTCCTTTAGAAGAAGGTAGATTTTAAACTCTGTATATTTTCCAGGTAAGATATGAAACGAAAAAGAAAACCTATACAAACAAAAAACCTTGGATTGATATTTCTCTTCTGGACCCTCGAAGTTACCATTTTGACCCTTTGGTTCATGTAGTCAGATTTATCATTTGTTAAGAACACATGATTAATGATATAATAAACTATTTCATATTGAACAGATGAGAGTTATGAAGAGAGTAAATTAATTCCCTTTGCAGTGACTGAATTATAATTCAGTGATATTATTTATTACAGGTCTGTTTTTATAGATCTGAGAACAAAAGGACTCACAAAGCTTAGTTTCTAGTTTTTTTCTTGTAACTGGTTTGCTGCATAAACTCAAGTCATTTGCCTGATCTCTGTTTACCAGTGTCCTCTGTTGTAAAATGTAAAATAGGCCATAAAAACTAGCTTCCAAGGTTATTGTAAAGATTTGATAAGTTAATAGTTATTACTGCCCCACATTTCTATGACCATTATCACTACCTATGGTAAATTGAGGCACTTGTGAAGAAACAAATCTTGTATAGACTTTAACTGGTTGCTGGAATCCTCTAGAATATGTTCACAGGTACATTGTTTGGCTTCTATGTTAATTTATGTAAGATATTCTTTTGTAGTGGTTGTCTAAACTTTTTTAGAATTGATTTATTGGATCCTTAATCTTGGCATACTCCAGCCGTCCAGATCGCCTTCGGGACATTGCTGATCGCTTCAATGTAGACCATGATGCAGTACTGGACAACGTACTTTATGCACGTGCATATACTAGTAAGAGCCCCATGCAGTGGGATGCTTGGGTCAATGTAAGGTTGGCAGCACTGATTTACTACTTGAGTGATACAACATTTTGTTACTTTTGTTCTATTTTATTTTTCTCCAAATTAATTTAGTCAGTCTATAAATTTTATCATCTGGTAAGTCCTTAGATAATAAAGTGCCCTCAAATTATTTATTATTCTTTGTCTTTAAAATGGAAAGTAACATTCTTTTTGGATAATGTAGCATTTGGTATATATGCTAAGGCAGAATATGCAATAACTTTTTTTGAGACGGAATCTTGCTCTGTCACCCAGGTTGGAGTGCAGTGGTGCAATCTCTGCTCACTGCAACCTCCACCTCCCAGGTTCAAGCAATTCTCCTGCCTCAGCCTCCCAAGTAGCTGGGATTACAGGAACAAGCCACCACAGCCAGCTTGTGTGTGTGTGTGTGTGTGTGTGTGTGTGTGTGTGTGGTGTTATTTTTTTTTTTGAGACGGAGTCTCACACTGTCCCCAGGCTGGATTGCAATGGCCAGTCTCGGCCCCCTGCAAACTCCACCTCCTGGGTTCACGCGATTCTCCTGCCTCAGCCTCCAGAGTAGGTGGGATTTTAGGCGCACACCACCACACCAGGCTAATTTTTTGTATTTTTAGTAGAGACGGGGTTTCACCATATTGGCCAGGTTGGTCCGAACTCCTGTCCTCAGGTGATCCACCCACCTCGGCCTCCCAAAGTGCTGGGAGTACAAGCATGAGCCACTGCACCTGGCTGCAATAATATTTAATAAACTCATAATTAAGCGAATCCTTCAAGGAGTCTCTTTTGACTGGAACAAGAACATGAATGATCTTAGCCTCTGCTTCTTTCAACTTTTATAACATTTTCTCACTGCATTTCCCACCAGGTGAACATCAGATGGAGCTACTTGATTATGTAGCAGCAAAGTTCCATGAGGAACCTGGCATCTTCAAGCTATTGGTTGGTTCAAGCTTTTAAATATTGCTTTCATAGACCTATTTAGCATAATATTTTTCTTCTATTGATCTCTATTCAAGTAACTTCTTCCTTCAGTTTCCAAATGCATGTTTATCTTTACATTAATCCTGTGTAGATTATCGATTCAATAATGGCACTTTTTCGAGTGGATTTCAGTGGCCGTGGGGAGTTGGCTGAACGGCAGCAAAAATTGGCCCAGATGTTATCACGACTCCAAAAAATCTCAGAAGGTACATCTTTAAAATAAAATGGCATCTGTGACTATGTTTGCCAAGTATACTTTGCAGAGAAGCTTGGAATATAATGTCAGAAGGCGGTGTTTTTTAAAAAAATAAAATTACCTTCTTGGGAATACAACTCTTTTTTTAAACCAAAAATATTTATTCTAACCTAAACAACTTAAATAATTTCTATTGTCAGTGAAAAATAGGAATATGATCTTATTTATAAAATAAATTCATGATTCAATATTTCTAAACTCTGAAATCTAAACAGTGAACTTTTAAATTATATTACCCTTCTCATAGTTTTTAAATTTTATCTCTTGATGCAGAATATAATGTGGCTGTTTTTGTGACCAATCAAATGACTGCTGATCCAGGAGCAACTATGACGTAAGCCCCAATATTCTACTTTTTATTTCACAGAGGTTAGCATAAGGAGGGTTACAGTGTACAGTAGAAAACAATTTCAAAATCATTAGTCTTTATGTGGGCACAAATATATCAGAAATCACTTTATTGCACAGTATATATGACTTCATAATTCAGATATCACTTGGTATCCAGAATCTATTTTTCTCTAGTTCTTTACAGAATAAAGCAATACTTTAACCATTTTCAGCAGTACTTTGGGCTTTTCTTTGGTCTAGGGCTAAAGGACTAAAGGAGGACAATAAGAAATAGATCCTAGGGAAATAAAAACTAATATTGCAGCTTATCAGTACCAATAGAAGCCATTCATAAAAAGAGAAAACTAATCTTTCTTTCTTTTTTTTTTTTTTTTGAGACGGAGTTTCACTCTTGTTACCCAGACTGGAGTGCAATGGCACGATCTCGGCTCACCGAAACCTCCGCCTCCTGGGTTCAGGCAATTCTCCTGCCTCAACCTCCCGAGTAGCTGGGACTACAGGCGCGCACCACCATGCCCAGCTAATTTTTGTATTTTTAGTAGAGACGGGGTTTCACCTTGTTGACCAGGATGTTCTTAATCTCTTGACCTCGTGATCCACCCGCCTCGGCCTCCCAAAGTACTGGGATTATAGGTGTGAGCCACCACGCCCGGCCAAAAAATAATCTTTCTACAGGATATACATGAGATATATTTATTGGAGGCCCTATAGAAGAAGTCTCCTGTTTGAAGAAAAAGAATTTCAGTTCAGACTAGTCATACTCAGAATTTGTCAAAGTGTTTGTGCACATGACATAACTATTGATGGCTCTGAAAGATGGCAAGGAATAGAAAGACACAGAGAGCTAAAGTAGGATAGTAAAAATAGAAAAGCCAAAGAAAGCTTTGTTGCCACCATAACAAATTTTGAGCATTATGTGTCTGAATAAGCAATCAAAATAATCCTAAATTCACACCACTGCACCCCAGCCTGGGAGACAGAGCAAGACTCTGTCTCAAACAAAACAAAACAAACCTAAATTCATGATAATGCTTTTTAAAAGGGTTTTCTTTTCTTTTCTCTTTTTCCGAGACAAGATCTCACTGTTACCCAAGCTGCAGTGCAGTGGCGCCATCTCTGCTCACTGCGACCTCCACCTCCCAGCCTCAGGTGATGCTCCTGCCTCAGTCTCCCAAGTAGCTGGGACTACCAGTGCACAACACCAAGCCTGGCTAATTTTCTTTTTTTTTTTTTTTTTTTTTTTCAGTCTTTTAAGCCTGGCTAATTTTCTTATTTTTAGTAGAGGGAGGGTTTTGCCATATTGGCCAGGGTGGTCTCAAATTCCTGGCCTCGAGCGATCCTCTCACCTTGGAGTCCCAAAGTGCTGGGATTACAGGTGTGAGCCCCCTTGCCTGGCCAAAAATATTTTTTAAAAAACTTTTAGGCCAGGTGCAGTGACTCACACCTGTAGTCCCAGCACTTTGGGAGGCCAAGGCAGGCAAATCACAAGGTCAGGAGTTCAAGACCACCCTGGTCAACATGGTGAAATCTTGTCTCAACTAAAAATACAAAAAATTAGCTAGGCATAGTGGCAGGCACCTGTAATCTCAGCTACTCAGGAGGTCGAGGCAGGAGACTCTCTTGAACCCGGGAGGCAGAGGTTGCAGTTAGCCAAGATTGTGCCACTGCACTCCAGCCTGGGTGACAGAGTGAGACTCCATCTCAAAAAAACAAAAAAAAGATTTTTTTTTAAGTTTTTTATTTAGAAAATGTTTTAACCAGAGAGAATTTGCAAAACTAGTACAATGAATTTGCATGACTACATTCCAGCCTGGGAGACAGCAAGACATACTCATTTATCTAGGTTCATCAGTTGTTAAATTTGCCACATTTTTTTTTCTCTCATGTATGTATATGTGTGTGTGTGTGTGTGTGGATGTGTAAAAGCTCTTTGCCTCTCAACACATACACACATTCTCATATGCATATGTATGTGTATATAATTTTTTGTTTTTGTTTTTGTTTTGAAATGGAGTTTCACTCGTTACCCACGCTGGGGTGCAATGGCACGTTCTCAGCTCACTGCAACCTTTGCCTCACAGGTTCAAGCGATTCTCCTGCCTCAGCCTCCGGAGTAGCTAGTATTACAGGCACCCACCACCACATTCAGCTAATTTTTTTTTGTATTATTAGTAGAGATGGAGTTTCACTGTGTTGGCCAGGCTGGACCCCAGGTAATCCACCTGCCTCAGCCTCCCAAAGTGCTGGGATTATAGGTGTGAGCCACTGTGCCTGGCCCTGTTTGTTTGTTTTTCTGAGACAGAGTCTTGCTTTGTCACCCAGACTGGAGTGCAGTGGCGCCATCTCAGCTCACTGTAACCTCTGCCTCCAGGGTTCAAGGGATTCTCCTGCCTCAGCCTCCCGAGTAGCTGGGATTACAGGCACCTGCCACCATGGCTGGCTAATTTTTGTATTTTTGGTAGAGATGGGGTTTCGCCATGTTGGCCAGGCTGGTCTCAAACTCCTGACCTCAGGTGATTTGCCCACCTCAGTCTCCCAAAGTGCTGGGATTACAGGTGTGAGCCACCACACCCAGCCTGTATATGTATTTTTTGGTGAACCATTTGAGAGGTTTCTTCTGAACCACTGGAAATTATTCACAGACATCATGGCACTTCACCTCTTAATACTTTATATCTCTTCTAAGATGTTTTTCTACATAGCCACAATACAATTATCACATTCAGAATTTCTAACATCGGAATAATAATGTTATCTAATACACAGTTGTATTCAAGTGTCTCCAATTGTCCCAATAATGTCCTTTATAGTTGTTGGAGTTTTTTTTTTTAGTTTTGCATTCAATTCAGGATCAATTGAAGAATATGCATTGCACATAACTGTCATGTCTCTTCAGTCTCCTTTAATCAGAACAGCTCTTCAACCTTTGTTAGACTTTTATGACACTGACATTTCTGAAGAACACAGGCCAGCTGTTTTGCAATTGTCCCTCTATTTGAAGTTGATTTTTTTCTTCATTATTTAAAATGTTAAACGTTTTGACAGGAAAACTGCCTAATCAATATTATGGCCTTCTCAGTATATCATATCAAGAGGCATATGATGGCAGTTTGTCCCATTATTAATGATGTTAATTCTGATCATGTGATTAAGATGATATTCACATGATGTCTCCATTATAAAAGAAAATTACAAAAATTCCCTTTTGTAGGGCCGGGCGCGGTGGCTCAAGCCTGTAATCCCAGCACTTTGGGAGGCTGAGGCGGGTGGATCATGAGGTCAAGAGATCAAGACCATCCTGGTCAATAAGGTGAAACCCCATCTCTACTGAAAATACAAAAAATTAGCTGGGCATGGTGGTGCGTGCCTGTAATCCCAGCTACTCAGGAGGCTGAGGCAGGAGAATTGCCTGAACCCAGGAGGCGGAGGTTGCGGTGAGCCGAAATGGCGCCATTGCACTCCAGCCTGGGTAACAAGAGCAAGACTCCATCTCAAAAAAAAAAAAAAAATTCCCTTTTGTATTTAATTAGTAATTTGTGGGGTGACAATTTGAGACTGTGTAAATATCTTGCTCTGCAATAAGCTTTCATGCATTTATATTAACATTCATTGAAGATTCTTGCCTAAATTAATTAGAGTAAATTAATTATTACTCTGATGGTTGCAATACAAAGTGCTATTACTTTAAAATAGAGGCAATACATCATATGGTAGCAGACTAACTTACACATTGACATATACATTAAAAGATATTTGATATGCTGGAGTAAATTCAGTAAATTGTATTGAAAGGAATGTGTCTTTCTTTAGGCATTTTCCAAATTTACCTTTAACAGTTTTGCTTCATCTTTTGCAGTTTGATATCTATCTCACTTTTCAAGACCCTTTTATAAGTATTTTCTACTTAGTTACAAGAGATTCCTATGAAAAATATTAACTATTCAAATGGTATTAAGCAAGTTAAAGAGATTAAGGAGGAGAAATATTATTTATTCATTCAATGAATATTTATTGAAAATCTACTATGTAGATTGCCGGGCACACTGGCTCACGCCTGTAATCCTAGCACTTTGGGAGGCCAAGGTGGGTGGATCACAAGGTCAGGAGTTCAAGACCAGCCTGGCCAACATGGTGAAACCCTTTCTCTACTCAAAATACAAAAATTAGTCGCTTGAAATTCCACCTACTTGGCAGGCTGAGGCAGGAGAATTGCTAAACCCTGGAGGCACAGGTTACAGTGAGCCAAGATCCCACCTCTGCACTCTAGCCTGGACGATAGAGCAGAGTGAGCAGAGCGAGACTCTGTCTCAAATAAAATAAAATAAAATCTACTATGTAACAATATTCTGAGAATTCACTACTGAACAAAAAAGACAAAAATCCTGGCCTCAGCCAAGCACAGGCATGGTGGCTCACACCTTGTAATCCCAGCACTTTGGAAGACTGAGACAGGAGGATCACTTGAGCCCAGGAGCCTAGGCAACATAGAAAGAACTTGTCTCTACAAAAAAATTAAAAATTAGCCAAGCATGGTGGCACATGCCTGTAGTCCTAGCTACTTGGGAGGCTGAGGCAGAAGGATTGCTTGAGCCTAGGAAGTCAAGGCTCCAGGGAGCCATGTTTGCACCACTACACTCCAGCCTGGGCAAGAGAGTGAGAACTGGTCTCAAAAAAAATCTTGGCCTCTATAAAGAAGGAAAATAGGCCAGGTGTGGTGGTTCACACCTGCAATCCCAGCACTTTGGGAGGCCAAGGTGGGCAGATCACCTGAGGTCAGAAGTTCAAGACCAGCCTGGCCAACATGGCAAAACCCCATCTCTACTAAAAATATAAAAATTAGCTGAAAGTAGTGGCATGTGCCTGTAATCCCAGCTACTTGGGAGGCTGAGGCAGAAGAATCATTTGAACCTGGGAGGCGGGGGTTGCAGTGAGCTGAGATCATGCCACTGCACTCCAGCCTGGGTGACAGAGCAAGATTCTGTC